GTACATAAATATCCATGAATACCATATGAAAATTTTCTTACTTAAGTTGAAAATAAGAACATACTAATATTAATTTGAATGCTAGTTGAGCAGTTTCTAAATTGAATGACAAATCTATGAAACCCTTCGACCAAAATCCTAAATTAAATACAAAAACTGGGAAATTGAATGATAATTGGCATGGCAAAGCCGATCTGCGCTAACTTACATGCAAAGTAAATGAATTCGAATGACCAACACGCGAATTTGGCCGGGAAATCCTATATTACAAATTTTCTGCTCTGTTATTTGATTTTCAGGTGGTGACGCTGGCCGTGCCCCTAGAGCAGAGATTAAAAAAATGTGGAACGTGGAATATGGAACAGATAACACATAATTGCGTTTGATTCCTTTTTCAAATCATCATCTACTTTTGATTATTCCTGAAGTGCGTTAATTGGAGACTCAATTGCGTGTAACAACTTCACATTTTCTTTCGCCTTGCAGATGATAACCTCAACAAGATTGTAATATGAATTGTAATTGTATTGAATAGAGATACATGTACTTGATGTATTATTGGTATTTTAAAGTCATAAAACACATTCTAAAAGTGCCACTAAAATATCGAATTCTTTACCGAATAAAATTTCATTTGAACAAACAACTTGGCTTTGCAAAACATATGTGGTATTGCAGTGAGTGACAAAACACACAATGAAATAAAGATATTCGGGCTGTTTCATCTAACACTTTTAGCATGATTAGAGAAGTTGTTTCTTGCTAGCTCGCATGCTGCTAACAATAAATCAACATAATAGCAAATTACAGCGTTAGAGTCGCCAATCCCTGGTAAGAAATTTCCCCTGCGATTATGCTACATAAGCTTGACCCTAATCTTACGGTACTCGTTAAACCGACCCAGATACAAATGCGTAGGAGAACTCCTGCGTAGGACAGATGAAGTATCACCAAACCCATAAGCATAATGGTCCGTATTCTAATAATTCAATTAAACCTGTCCCTAGGTATACGCTCACGTTTTTAGAAAGGATAACATAAACTAACCTACAATCTTAAATTTTAAGTTTAAATAAGTTAAAGATTGTATTAGAGAGAGGGCTAGAGAGTTGAAGAGATAGATAAATGGCCAAATTTTAAATGAGGCAAGTGATAAGAGTAAAGAATAAACGATAAAAGAAGAAAGAGATATTATGGTATAGACAGTGGGCGGAGCAGTTGAAGAGAGGAGATTAAAAGAGAAAGAGAGAGAGAGAGAGAGAATATGGGGGTCTGAGAAAAGGTATAATTATGAGTAATAATAATAATATATAAAATGTATTAGGCGCTTAATACAGGTGTTTCTAAGCGCACCATTGTCTGAATTAAAATTACCAACTAAAACTTGTAATAAACACACAAATATAAATATGTTCTTTATTCAATAAATCATACATATATAATAACAAAAATAAAAATGTGATCAAACATAAGGTCAAACATGAGATCAAACAAAATATCAAACAAACAAAGAATAAGATGGTGTGCACCTCCTTTGATCGACTCTCAACTGCATAATAGCATATATGAATTAAAAAGGTGTGTTTTCAGTAAGGACTTAAACTGGTCAAGAGAATGAGTATTATGAATATGCGCTGGTAATTTATTCCAAAGGATAGGGGCATTTACTGAAAAAGCTCAATCGCCATATTTTGTAACAGAACGAGGTCCAAGGGTTAACTGCAAGGTTGATGATGATCGAAGAGGTCTTAAAGAACTAGAAGAACGTAAGGAAATCAAATCTGAAAGATATTTAGGGGCTTGGCCATGGAGAATTTTGTATGTCAGAAGAAGAACTTTAAAATTAATGTTGTACGATGGTGTATGGGAAGCCAACGGAGAGAACGCAATATTGGGGTTATGTGCTCAAATTTTCTCGAGAGAGTAACAAGCCTTGCAGCAGTATTCTGAATTATTTGGAGTGGAAGTAAGTATGAATGAGGAAGGCCAGAAAAAATTGAATTACAATAATCAAGGTGGGAGGATACAAAAGCATGGGTTAATTTTGCAGTTGTGGGTCGGTCAAGTAATAGGGGCTGGATAAAGTAAAAGGTTTTCAAGGACTGGAGTGGGGGTGAGAGCCTGGGAGAGACAGCAAGTTGGTGGAATACAGATTTTGGCGCAAAATTGATGGTGAATTGTGTGTGTCTGTATGTGTGTTTGTGTGTACGTATACTTTATATACACTGTTGGAATGATTTTGACAATAATTTATTCCTAATATATCTAGATAATAGTTTACATTCTCAGATTTTATTGAATAATTTGCGAGTGTTTGTTTTGCGTGACTGCTAAAGCATATGTGTGCTACTATGTTAATCAACTAGGGGAACTACGCCCTTAAGTGATAACTGATAGTAATGATGATATATGCCTTACAAAAGGGCATTAATATAGATGATCGACACGGTTTTGATTCTTGGGCCTCACAGTAACGCGACCATTGCTGAATCATGTCTGTACGCAGCGGGGGTCTGGGTACGTCGCCAACCCCACAAATACAAAAAACCCAAAGAAAATGCAATAAGTTATCAATAATTCATTGCATTTTCACGCGGTCCCCAACAGGGAAAAGTCCTATGTATAGGGCCATGCATTATGATTCAAGGCCTGGCCACACAAAAGATTTTTTTTCTGTTGGGGATCGGGGCAAAATTCAATGAATTATTGATCATTTATTGCATTTTTTGTTTTGTTGTATTTGTTGGGGCGGCGACGTACCCTAGCCCCCTAATACAACCATTATACAACTATGAGTCATATGCCCAAACCCCAGTCACTTGCACTCTCCATAGCCACTCCCCATAATACCATGACAACCCTGACAATTGACCAATCATAAGCATGTTTAAATCTCCCATCCCAACATTGTTTCTCCCCCCAAACTTTCTGATTGAAAAGTTGGCTAATCAGAAAAACTTCGGTTTCAGCCATCAGCCGCTGAACAAGGATTCTAGAATCGTCTACTAGAGAGTCATTGTGTTATGTAGTTAAGTATCGAGATTGAATAAATGTTTCTGAAACTGTAAACAAGAACGATTACAAGTCTCGTTTTATTTATGCTCCTCGCCTCATCACCGATCCCTATACACGACATGGTGGAGAACCCGGCTTTGAAGAATTTTCTTCAATATACTTACTAAGATCGATGAGAACCCGGTTTTGTAGAAATTTATTTCTGCTTCAGACGTGAGGAGGACCAGCAATTGAAGTGAACATTTACATATCTCGATTTTGTCTGCTGAAAACGACACTAAACATGACAGGAAATTAACCAAAGACGACGACAACATGCACGGCGACGTAGACTTAAACCTATAGCTCAGCTCATCCTGCATGAAGCTCGACCGACGACATCGCATTATGAAAGTAATGGACAACACCCTTGACGTGGAGGACTACGCCAACAGCAAACCACGTTGGATGCAACACTCAGCTAGACATCGACGGACGTCACCCAGGAGATCTAACAATTCACGCCCATGACATGACATTAACCTTAGCATGCACCCAGGACCATGATGAGGACATCGACGCTTCGATCACTGTCTCAAGCTCCGCAATGAGAAAGTTGAGAGGAAGTGGGCGGTGAGGGGTACGGGGGCGCGGTTTGGGCGTTTCATTATTATTATTTCTACCGCGGGGAGTTTGTGGAAATGTAGGAGCCACCTCAGGTCTGGCAGGACTTGAATGGAGGGGGTAGCACCGCAGCTGTCTGACATCAGCAGCTCTTCGATTGGTCAATTCTCTTTATGCACATTCAACCAATCAGTCAGTAGAAAACTAAAGCAGAAGAGGTTCGCTTGTCCTGATATGTTTGGATGATAACGCGAGGTTGCATAACGTTTCATATGTTCCAAGTTGTAGGCACATTCTTTACCTTTCATAGGAGTATTGTCTTCTCATTTTTATGAGTCGAAAATGATAGTTTAATATTGTTTTATTGTAGGCCTATAAACCGTTTCGATTCCTTCGAAAATCCTTGCCTATTTTGGCTATATAGTCTTCCATTTTTATTCTCAGTTTCTACGAGCTACTTCTATATATAGCTATAACTAAGTAGCTAGTTGTCACGTGCTTCGTGTTACTTATAATCTAATTGATATTTGACCTATGTCATGTCAGTTGATACCTAAAACCTGTGATCTCAATTAATTCAATGAGATCAGTCACGAATAAACGCAAACTAAAGCATGACATGAGCCAGCACATTATGATGACATTGCAAACTCATTTATTATATCCAGTTTTGACCAGCTACATACATGTACATTATATACACAATCTGCCTTTCAAGCAGCAACAAAATGATTGGTCGATACATCATGATTATTCGATTTATCAGTATAATTGGGATTTTGCAACTATAATTTAAAGTAAGCATACAAGAACATTATTTTCAAGTTTAAGTACGCCCTCGTGATTATTTATTTAAAAGGAAACAAATGATAAAAGTACTAGAAAGAAAACTTTAAAAGGCAGCACCAAAATCAATCTGCGAATGGCATATACATTTCTAGTACAATTTCAATAATTTCATTATATTTAACATTTCATGAACACATATGAATTATTACAGAATTTTATTACAAACAAGGAAGTTGAAATTGTGCGCGAAACGCCATTTTTCCCGGGATAGTGGTTAATACCTGAAAAATACTGTTCCCTTTTAAACCAAATTTCCGTCTCTTCTACAAGCCTTTCAGTGTTACAACACGAATATATCATCACCAAGTCACGGCCGTTCAGTTTTAACATACACAAGTTTAAAGCTTTATAAAACAATATAACGAAAATTGAAACCAAACTATACATTTTCCAATACATATTGCAAATGTGTTTCTCTCCTGTCGACAATTGTGGTATGTGCCATATGTAACCGACATTTTGATACCATTTGAACACTAGTTGCACATTATGATTTAATAATATACTGCACGAAATATGTTTATTTCGTTTCATTGCTCTGCTATGAACAATCAAAATAACAATAGAGCATATCCTGTAAAAACAAGTCTTAATCAAATACTAAAATACTGCAATAAGTATGTACAGATACATATTATAAATCTTACGATTAGAATTTAGAATACACTGGCCTATTCAGCTTTGTATGCTGCACGTCAAATTGATTGGACATAAAACAAATCTGCAAACCTATAAAACACACTAAACATTACAAACAAAATCACAATTCATTTTATTTTCATATTGTGTGCCAGCACACAAAATCTATAAGGAAATCAACTATTATAACCAATCATTAAACGAGGTTCTATTTGTCTTTATCTCTTCCACTTTTTTTCTTGACTGATGATAAAACCATATAAAACGAAAGTTATTATCAAATGAATACATAAATGCCTTGACTTTAAATGAACGCCATTGTTGGATGTGCACTCATATCACATTATGAATGAAACATATTCGAGTACTTTTTTATATACTGATTATCTTTGCCAAACTCATACAGTATTTCCTTTCATATGGGAATACTTTTGTTATCATTTCTTCAACAGGAGAACTAAATTCATCTTATTTTTCTTTTATGTCGAAAGGACATGATATATCAACATTCTACTTTCTTTAAAGACTTGTCCAACATATCTTAACACCATTCTGGTTTTCAGTATGAAGCTAACAGTTAGAGTGACCTCCATATAATATGAATTGCTGATTCTGTTGCAAAACATTGGTGAATATAATTGTTTTTGATAAACAGATAGGTGTACACACATAGAATATATACGCATCAAATTGAGCAAAGTTATCACTAAACTTGCGACCTATGTACATCAACTATAGGTATAAACAAACAGTTTTACATGATGTAGTAAAATCTGCAAACAACACAGAGATAATATTCCAATTTAAATCAGAATGAAGATAAATGTTATCAGTTGTAAGACTTCAAGGTTTAGTAGTGATCTTTAAAATGGATGAAAGACATTGAGCTGGAGAGAATATAAAAGTGTAATACAAGAGGTCAGTTAAGAAACCCTGTTTTGAATGTAATACTGTATAACACCTTATAGCATGAGTCGGTTCGAAAAACACGAATAACTTCTTATGAAAGCCCATATCGGTTGCAAGATGATCTACAAGTATTCAATACTTTAAAAGTTGAGTACTTTGGTTAAATATGAATAAACAATTCAAGGTGATACATATACGTTGGTGTCATGCAGCTTTTAAAACTATATTTAAAGTACTAATTTGTATTTGCCACTGATATCGAGAGAGTACATGTGTAAATGTTTAAATATGAATTCACAATTCAAGATGATACATTATTGGTGTGATGCAGCTTTAAAAACCATTTAAAGTACTAATCTTTATTTGCCACTGATATCGAGAGAGTACATGTGCGAATGTTTTAAAACAGGCCAACACAGCTTTTCAAATAACAATCAATATAAAAAAACACTTTCTATATAAAACATTGCATTCATAGTACTTATACAATCATGTTTATTTTTCCACCTAATCTTAGTTTTGGTAAAACTTACTTAACAGGATGCTTAAATCATAATTAATGTCATAATACATGTATATCCATTTAGATGTACTGAACCATAGTTCCTATTTGATAATAATGCTTTTTTTTTAAATTGTTTAAAAAAAAATAATCAAGACTGATCTGTATTGTTGAAATCAAAATTTAACGACTGAAATTGTATCGCAGGAAAAACACATGTCATTTAAAATCAAACTAACAATTTCAGAAGAAGACCAAAACAAAACAAAATAGAATTGAATTAAAAACACGCACGCACGTATATAGTTACTTCTCAGTTTGTACAAATCAAATACAGTATATACAAAGAATTGTTGGAGTAGTCTATAATACCGTCCTAGGTGGTTCAAATTCGTCAGTTGTTATCGGCCAAGGAGCTTCGTAGCTATTCACCTCAGCAACCGTAGCACTGTGGAATAAAATATAATAGACATCGATGATGACTTTATGGGTAACAGATTGAATTTCAAATTGCTTAAATTATCAGAGGGCCTACTATCCTCCCGTAAGATAGATGTCTCTATCTGGTATTCTTTGCTTTAATAACAGTGAATTTTCTTTAGTAGCGGAGACAATTTGTACTACCATATTGAACTTATTTAATGATTGGTATTTTCAAATGATTTAAATAAGATTGCTTTGAAGTTTGATACAAAATATAAATGGGTCAATCAAATTGACACATTGCATCAGCTTCTGATTTTAAACAGAACTGTTAATATAATTAGGGCTCGAAGTCGACACATGTACAGTTTGTAATTACAAGGATATTGACCTATTAATGTAACGTTAACAAATCTCAAGTCTGTTCCCGTATGCCGCGGTCTACCTTTACTTTGGCACATGAGCCAACCATACACTTCACTTCATGAGTATCTGAAGTTTCAGTTAATTATTATTATTCATGGAACAATGTTTTGGGTCAGCTAAATGTTTGTTTGCAATCACGTTGCATCGGAAAACTTCCACATTTTAGCAGAAAATCTTTATGAGAGTATATTATGTTCATGCTGAATAGCTGAACAAGATGAAAGATTCAAACTTACTGAGCGCCATTATCTGGAGGCACAAAGCCATAGATGTTTTCATCAGCATGATTTTTACTAGCTGATGATGGGATCCCATGCTGACGAGACATTGCTGATAACCGTCCATCATCTAGAGCACCGTCACCGTGGTGACGAGCTGCCTGCTCAGCGTCATAACGGATTCGACGATTTTTGCTGAAGGAGAAAGAAGAGAAAAATAAAATGAACTAGGGTTGCATCACTGCAGAGTGAATACATTAAAATAACAGCATTGAGTGAGACTTATGTTTTACAGAGAGCGAGGGGGAGGGGACGAGGGGCGAGGAATAAGAATACGGGCACATCAAACAAAAACAGATGTCAAGACGAAAGGACGTTAACAAAAATATAATGGTACAAAGGGAAAATGGTAATTACGGTTTATGATCCAAATAACCTCGAAAAAACAGCATTGATTTTGTTCAATGTCTATAATTTGCAGGGTGCAACATTGAAATAATGGAACTTGAACGTCATGCACCATAAGTGTGAACATTGCAATGACGTATTACATAATGTCTCTATTGGATACACAATGCAGTATTGAAATTGCCCTTGATTGTGTTGATACTGTAAATATAGTTGTGATCGTGATCATTATTTACTATTAAACGGAAAAGAGGTTTTAAATGGTCTTACTTTGAATTGCAATTCTTGACAATCACAGTGCAGACGACGATAATGAAGACGATACCAAGGACAACACCGACGATAACTGCGATCCATTTGGGTTCCTGTAGGACTTGCAGAATGCTGCTGGACGTAGCATCAACCACTACAAGTACAATATCAAACATAGAATCTGTCAATGTGATTTATACATTGGTGTGTATGTTAAAGGAAAGGAAACAAAATATAGCATGTCTGCTAAAACCAGCCTTTAGGTTTCATAAACTTTGCAGAAAATATTCTCCTTTCATGCAGATAAAATCTACAACGAAGTTAATCCTCAGCATTTTACAATACGACTTGGAAATTTAAAACCAATAAATCATGTACGAAAGAACTAAATACATGTAAAGCAAAAACACATACCTTACTAAAGCACTGTAGGCCTGCAATATTTGGTCATTGCTTTAAACGGAATGCCTTCTTCGTAATTGTTTATGGTTGTAGTCATCCAAAATATATAACAAATAATATTAAAATTGCACCATTCATAATCTCTTAATAGTAAAGATTATACATCAAAAAAAGCTTAAAATCTCTTCTTGATTTAATCTAACTCGTAACGTAATGAAACCAAACACGACCCCGAATGAAATAGTTCGAATATAAATTATAAATCAGTTTAAACTGGATCTTCTTAAACCATGAGAAGGGACATACCTAATTCACAGTTATTTCCGTTGAAGCCTGCTTCACACTGACAGCTATAGGCGGCTCCATTAGGGATACAAGCAGCTCCATTCGCACATGGGTTACTCGTACAACCAGCTTGAACTAAAGGGTATAGAAACGAGAACACATAAAACAGTCAATAGTCTGTTAAAAGGGTTAGCACTTAATCAGGTTCAAGGAAACTATACTCTCGAGCCAATACCTGTAAGTAGATATCATATTCAAGTTATGTCAGAGCCCATTTTTATGTCCATACATTTCAATGTTGCGATTGTGTTTGTCTTACATCGACTAGGCAATTCAAAGTCAGATCCCAGTTGAAATATTTAATTGATTTTACAAAAGATATAACCATGATTCTTTTGATCAACCACCAACTGTAGCGATTTAGTTTTTTTTACTCCTAAATACCGTTTTAATGTCTCTCTGAAAACAATCCATCGTTTCATAACGTGTAATTAGTTGAGTCTCCATAGACTAATGTAATAAATTGAAAAAAGAAATGCCCGTTTTTTTTAAACACATCGATTTTAAACCACTAAATGAGTTGTCAATTGATCAAATGATTTTAAAACTGATTTTCCTTTTTTTAATTCCTAGCATTAAGCGCAATACGGTCATGCAAAAAATAAATGAAGTCTGTGCAGAATTTTTCGCAATTTCTGCTGATGCATTGATTTAGGGCTCTGAATTGAAAGTTATTGAACCAAACCACAAAATGGGGAGGGATTTTCGCTAAAGGGGTAACAGTTCTTACCTTCGCAGTTAGTACCCAAATAATCAGGCGCACATGCACAGGTATACTGATTATCACCATTGATACACGGTCGGTTATTCATGCACGGACTGCTAGCACACTCGTCAATATCTGGAAAGAAAATAGTATTTTGATTGCATCAATTCGTTTTATTTATCCAGTTTTTCAAATTGAAATCAATGACAGAAGGCCTATGATGATTATTATTTCTATTCACGAATTTATTATTTGAAAAAAAACATGTTGGTGAAAAACATTTCCAAATGGACAATTAACAGTTCATATCAATTTAAATTTGTATGCAGGAATACAGTAAATGAAGAACTGAGAGGTTGAAAAACAATGGACTATAGCACCTAATTAAAGATTACACGATTTTCGCTGAGCGCTCGCCTCATGAGCAGCTAGCGTATATCCTATCCCCCCAAAATACATTCACTGGGAATCCGATATTCAATGCTTAAAGACATTCATAGAATATAAGAATTAAACATGGTGCATATACTTTCTTGTTTGACAATACTGGTAGACAGGACAGCAAAGCACATCAGCACCGACTTTGGAGTAAGAAAATTGGTCAGTGCATTCACGATGACATGCACGAATAGAAAGAATAATTCTTATGCCAAAAATGTTGGTTTGGAATGAAGCAATGCATTTATTAGTAAATTATTTCCAGTTATTTTCATGAAGGCATAACAAGCAGATCATTCTCAGGTAGAAGGCTGGTTCATATCTTCCAAAACAAAAAAGCAAAAACAACTAATCCAATAAGAGAGAGATGAGAGAGAGACATAGAAAAATAGAGAGAGAGAGAGAGAGAGAAAAAAGAAAGAAAGAGAGAAAGAGAGAGAGAGAGATAGAGAGAAGAAGAAGGAGGAGGATCAGTAGAAGTAGTAGTAGTAATAACCTACCTTCTGAACATTGTGAACCTGTTCTCCCACTGCGGCATGCACATGTGTGTCCACCAATGGTGTTGGTACATTGCTGGTATGACTGACATGGGCTGCTGGTAAGACATTCATTCGCATCTAAAAGGGGGTAAACAAATGAATAATAAATGAATGCATTGGTACTGGATTAGAAACATTCATACCCACAGGATAATCCTAAATAAAATTAAATACTTTGATAAACTCTAAGCATGTGATGCACACGGCTACTGAGCAGGAGAATGATGGAAAAAATATCAATGAAAACAGAGTGAAACACATGTAAAAACAGAACTTCAGAATTATTCATACAGCCAAGAATTTTGATCCTTTGTACCGCTATCCTGATAAGAATCTAAATCTATGTATTGATATGTATCAACTTGACAATAATATCACGTTCATGATGAGAAAAATCCTTTCTATTTGAGAATCACGAAGAGGAAATAGCCAAAGAGCCGATTGGGAAGAGAAAACGAGTCTGTGCAAACAATGTGAAAAGAATCAATAGTCTAACTTATTTCTTTTACAGTTGAATCCCGACTATAAAACAAAAATAGTTACCTGTTTCACAAATGTCACCAGTCCAGGTTGGTGGGCAGTCACACATAGCTATACCAGATAATGTGTCGATGTAACATGTACCAGCATTAAAGCAGTCTTTCTCTGGAGGGTCACTACAAGAACCTGTGAAATCAAATCAAATCAAATCAAACATCAGAATTTTGTTGGGTTTTCGAAACCGAATTTGTCACTAACCTTTAAAATATTAAACCCTTTGTATATTAAATCTTGTACATTATCATGTAATTTGATTGTAATGCGGTTTAAACAAAAATAGACATATTATAATTAAGTACCACATGAGTATTTCAACTTAGCTAGCATCATATATTTGTAGCATTCAAGGTGATAATAAGCGCCCCATGATATTTCAGCATCATTGATTGATCATGAAGTCTGACATAAGTTTGGTAATGAAAGATAAATATGGGGACAAAAAGGGGGTAAAGCAAGATATAAAAACAAAACAAAACATATGAATCTAAAATGAGCCCAGCTCGATATAGTCGAGAGGACAAATAAGCAGAAAGAGAGAGAGAGAGAGAGAGAGAGAGAGGGAGAGGGGGGAGGGAGGGAGAGCAAGAAACAGCAGAAAGAAAAGTTCTAATCTTCGCCTGTCCGACATGTGGGCGTGGACTCGGGAGCAGCAGACACGAACATCTTTAATAACAGTAACTTGAATCATAGTTAATGCTACTCACCTCTTTCACAACGGCTTCCTGAAAATCCTCCTGAACATGAACAGCTGTATCCAGCAGTTGTAGTTGTACAGACACCATTATTCAAACATGGGTCTGGATCGCAAGTATCTGATGAAGAAGAAGAAAAAAAGTGTCATAAACTGGTTACCAATACTCATAGATCTGGTTCATCCGTACAAGAGATAGGCATTCAAATATGTCATATTCTATGAGAACAAATGTGGAACAGTTCATTGAAATTATCCCTTATATAATCATATGTGATTTATTAGGTTTAATTTTTAAAGTCAGGCGCCGTCCGAAATTAGTTACTCGTCTTATTCATCAATTAATATTCAATTCTTGGAAATTAAATGCTCGGGAGCGTGTTTACATGTCCAGATTAAAACCCCCTACACCACATGCAGGCAGAAATACACACCTGCATGCTTTACACTCGAGCAACACCATCTGCCTTACTTTGTGTATTCAGAGAAACTTCTAAATATTATTCTTGTACCCATATTCATATAATACAGCATTACCTATAACTGTTTTCAAACCTATGATTTTGTAATGATTATTTCCATTTGTATTACCTGCCATGAACGATGTCCTGTCATGTTTTGTCATGTTTTGTCACGTATGTTTCTGTTTTAGTTTTGTTTTTATATGTAAATCTGTTAACTATTGTTCAGTGAACTGTGCCTCCACAAGGCCATTTGGCCTTATTTTTTAGTTCCCTATTTTTATTTTCTTATATATTGCAAATGCTTATCGTTGTATATACCTTTGTATTTTTTTTTTTATTGAAAATGGAAATGAATAAAATGAAAATGACTTCTTGATCCATTTTTTACATGATTATGCAGGAGCGGACCAAGGACTTAAAAAAAAGGGGGGGGGGGGGACGATATGCTAAAAACACACAATTAAGGTACTTTTTATTATATACATAAAGTATACCAATTGGTTTAAAACGAGAGGGTTATGTTGTGTCCCCCTCTAAATCCACCAGTGATTATTCTTACTTATATTCTCGCAGTTGTCACCATCAAATCCTGGTAAGCAATCACATGTACCGTCTGTTTGACAGGTTCCACCATTAACACAAGGATCAGGATCGCATGGGTTAACTGAAACACAAGCATTACAATACAGAAATAAAGCATAGGTATAGGCCATAAAATACCATCTTACTTTAATATGTGAATATTATCTTCAAATTCATTCATGCCATTATGTATATGGTCCTACATTATATCAATTGAGTATTTTGTTGATATGAAAAAAGACGAGGAAAAAATGTGATTCTAAACCAGCATTGCTTGTAAAAGGATATGAATCATAAAAGGTTCAAAGTGAAACTGAATGATTACCTTATCATAAACATTCTCATACTTGCACTCGTCTTTTTGTCGTGAAGTAAAATGAAGCATTATCATTGAAAAGCGATATAATAGAAATGTGGTCACAGGAGAAATACATTAAAACATTTGGTTAGATATGAATAAGTCATAAATCTCCATTCACATTCTTTGGCCTTACTTCTCAAAAGCATGTTTTAATGATTTTATCCAAATACTGTTAGGAAGAGATTATAGTTAGTTAATGTGATCCATATTAGAAGAGAAATTATTGATAATAATATAGTTATAATGTCATGATTATACGTCTTTAAACTGGAATGCTTATTAATGTGTTTGAAACAGGCAACCAAGCGTCACGCTTCAAAGGTAGTTACAATCAGTTATCTTATATCATGATCAACAATAGTTTAGGAGTCTATGAAAATCTAGAAGAAATAATGAATGTTATGAATTCAGGAAGTATTATTATATATCAAAGAAGGGATGCATGATGGATCGCAACCGTCAAAGATGATTTGCAAAGCGACAAATATGTTGTTGTTATAATGAACCCTGCCTTCCGACCTGGGTATTGCAGATTATTGCATATCTCCCCATTGCAACAGGGGCGTTCAGTGCAATTCGGTGCATGTCATGACATTTTGAAGATAAAATACGTTTACGTAAAAGGAAACCATTTGATATTCACAATGTCACAGTTCAATCCATTTGCCCTGATCTACCGGTAGTAGAAAAACAGTGAAAATAACATTGATGATGATAAGTGGGTGTTCGGCAAATGGAAATGATTAAAATGTTTTGAGGTTGAATGTTCAATGTAGGTTAATGCTGAAAATAAGGATGTTAGATTTGAGGAAAGCGGAAATATAACGATAGGGATAGTAGATGCTTATAACAGGAATAAACCAAACTCCAAAAAGTTAGGAAAGGCTCCTTTGATGTAAAACTAAACATTACGCAAAATACCAAAACAGTATAGACTTTGACGTTAGGACAAGTGTTAGTGCAACGAGAGAGAAAGTATTCCACGATGGTTAGAGATGATTAGTCCCGTGAGTAGTCATGACCTGTTAGAGAAAACTGACTGATTTGATGGCCGACATTCGATGAGGAGTATTGAACATACCGGATGTAAGACATTGAGTACCGGTGAAGGCAGCTGGGCACGTGCATACATAACCATCGACTCCATTACTGCATACACCATTGTTATAACAAGGGCTGCTGATACACGGCACGTCAGCTAGGGTCACAAAGAATATATATATTTTTACAAGAGCTCCTCACGGTGGAGGCAACACATGATACAGTAAGTGCATTTGCGTTTAACAGAGTGTAAGTGCATGTCTTAAAGAAATAAATCTATGCGATGTTGATAAGTCATTCAAATCACTTCGTGCAATAAATTCTATAAAAAACAAAATGGTGAGGTAAGCAAATTAAAGCAAGTGCCAATACTTATAATGGATTGTAACTACAAGTCTTAAAGAACATTCCAAAATAAAGGCAATACAAATAATTCTCTAATGAAAATTCATTCAATACATGTATTACGTAAATACGATAAGAGAACACTAAAAACAAACAAATCAAGAAAATAATATGTCGTCCTATGCTTGCTAGTACATTATGTATTCTGCTTACATTAACACACAGATCACAGCCCTTTCAAATCAGAGGGTCATATTTACCGATAGAAGTTTCACAGTTTGTTCCCGTGTAGCCCGATGCGCACGTACACGTGTAGTCTGCTCCTTGATCCGTACACTGGGCTCCATTCAGACAGGGATTGCTAAGACACGCGTACTGACTGCCCTCTGAAAGTCAGTCGAAATCATAGAGGAAATACAAATGTGTAAATATAATCTTATCACATTAATAGATTATGATAGGATATGAAAAAACGTAAGCAAACACTGACGGGGAATTTCAATGAGAAAGATTTGAATATGTCTTGATTATATGTTGTCTTAAAGCCCCACTGTACTACTTGTAGCTATTTGCTCCCTCTATATAATAAGCGGTGCCTGTTGGTCCCTAATGATCCTCTTTTTCTTATGTTAATTGAGAGCTGAGTTGAAGAGAGAGCCACCTGTCAGTGGCCACGCTGGGTGGTCTAATCCTTCCTGACCAAACTAGTACATTCGGGCTTTAAGTAGAGTACACAGAAGTTCATTATGTTACATCTGTAATTACTCTTCAGAATCACAATGTGTTGATGTGATCAACACATATGTGACTTGCCAATCAAAGATTCCCTTTTAATCTGTTTTCAACATCAGACTCATCAATATTACACTACACCTAGTTGCTCAGATTAAACTTTATTCAACTTTCCTTTGCAGAGGTCTTTATCATTCATGGTGTTTTACTCTTTACATACGGGTCATCTTACATAAGCGAGTCTATATCGCTGTAAGATGTTTTTCATAATGACTTGTTTGATGATAAACTTCTGCTCACCATAGCATTCATCTTGAACCTCTAACGAAAAGCCGATAGCATTCTTTGTATCATCAGTTTTAAAGCGGATCCAAGCCCGGTTCGACTGCGTGAACATCGGTGTTGGTGGTCGTTCATCACCAGAATACTGAGGAGCAGAATCATCGATGTCCGTTCCGTCACCGATCTGTAGGAAGTCATACTGGCCCTCGGTGGTGAAGGCAATGAAGACGATTCGCATGCGGGTGGTTGCGGGAGACTGCAGGAACCAGAAACAGTCTGCGTTATTGCTGTATGGAGAAGGGTAACCAGGCGAGGTCAGACGAGCGAACCCACAGGTTGGTACGATCACGGTTCCTACGCATGATGTAGCTATAATTATGACACATTGAGAGAAAGATGGACACATAATATTAATGCAGGACTACACACAAACAATGGTGTTATTGACGCTTGCTGGCTCGATTGAATTTTGGACTAAAGGGTGAAATGAAAGGAAAGCTATGAGCTGTAGGAATTTCAATACAACTAAATGTTTGATTCAACTTTCAGTCATTAGATTACGAAATACTCACTTTCGACTTTCCTAGGGAGAAATCTGCATATATTTGATAAGGTTATTTGAAAATGTATAAATCATAATTTGCATACAGTTCACCAATTTACAATGGTCCATTTTAAGGATGTGTATTAAATAGACTTTCAAATAATCTTGGAACACGGCGTCCTACTACATTCTGTTTAACCAGTTATTCATTGATATGATGGAATGAAACATCATCTATTATTTACTATATCACCATGGATACCTAAATGACATGGACATGAAATCTATCATATCACCATGGATACTTACATGTCTCGCATCGTGGGCCAGTGTATCCATCAGGGCATAAGCATGAATACGAGTTTATTCCATCCATACACACTCCATTAATACACGAATTCACAGTGCAATCATTGATGTCTGTAGATAAACGCAATTCAGAAAGTAATGAGAATCAGTTATATCATCAATAACGATCATAAGATATATAGATGATTCAGTAACTTGATAATACTTTTATTTAGTGCATATTTTGATTGCATCAACTCTTACAAAGTATTTGTAGCTTTTATCCTAGATTTGGCTCCCACAGCAACTATTAAGACACAATGAATATTAGAACATTGATCATAACAGATGCTACGTTTCTACACATGGATCGAGAGTGGGAAATGTTGCGTCTTCCCAAAGGACTTGAGTGACGTGCTGGGGTTCAAGACCCAAACTTTTGCATTTAAATTTAAGTGCTAAACGTGTTGGTGACCAGAAAGATCAAAAGATGTCTTACATTCATTGCCTGGCCATGTTTAATTCTACAGGTTATTTGTCATGAGGAAAAAAGTATCTTCAAATTATTAACATAATGTTAACATTTTCAAATATGGTTTCTATTTTATATTTGAACACCGTCTTATGTGGTGCTGGTCCATTATGATATAAAACAAAAATGTTACCTTTATCTAACACTTCACACCTTACACCTTATATTAAAAGCTTTTTAAGTTATATATTTCAGAATAAAAGGATTGTTTCTTACTTGTTTGACATTGGTCACCTTCGAATCCTTGAGTACACACACATGTAAAACCATTGACGCTATCTTGGCAGAAGCCACCATTTTGACATGGATTACTGCTGCATTCATTGACACCTATTATGTGAGAAGTAATAATTGAAATTATATTAATGTAACAAATTACAGTAGAAATATAGAGAAATATAGAGAAATATAACATTTAATAAAGTGGCCCGATAGTGTTCTAGTGGAGTTTTTCGTGACGTATCTGTAATAATATTTTCTTGAGATATATTTTAATAAAGATGTATTACTGATTTTTAAAAAGGAAAGAGCTCACTTTACAGATATCTAAATGAATCTGCAAAATGCAACTTAATTAACTGGAAATTTGATATGCAATATATGAGACGGTACAATATATCTATGGCTTATCAGGGGACGTAATTTAAAATACATTGATGAATATCTTTATTTTGAAATGGTTATATATGATAAACATAGTACAAGCAGATCCTGCGTCTATATTTAGCTGACTAGAATGAAATAGATGCGATCTCAGAAGGCAAGCTTCTAGAATTGAGTCATCATGGATGTCCCCTTATAAACCATGACATTCTCAGTAAGTTGATATATATTATGGATGATTAGCACCAACCTTCCTCCCCAGGAAGCCCGGGTTCAGCTGAACCACCTGAGATCAAGAGCATGCCGCTTTGCAGCGAGCATGAAGCTTTAGGGTATCAAAGACTCTGACCTGTGCCTGTGGTCAAATTCAGACTGTTGAGCATGTTCGTAATGGGTGTGCGGTAACAGGACCCAAATGTCCCCTCACTGGGATTAACAACTCACAACCGGTGTCAGTTTAAAATATCAATGGATGATATACAAAATAACAACCTACCTAATAAGCATGTGTCGCCAGTCCAACCAGGTGCACAAAGACAATTGACTGCATTCACCAGATCAATACACGTGGCTCCATTGAAACACGGGGCGTTTGCACACTCGTCAACATCTGCATTTTAGGAAGATTAATAGATCACCAAAAAATTATTAGAATACTCAATATTCCCTGCATACTTCTTAAAAATCAATTCAGGAGTCGTTATTGATGGTGTGAAGAATACCTTCCCTTATTTCTATCATCCTGTCTTGAAGAGAAAATAAAATGAAAGAAGAATTTTTCAAATAAAAATTGTGATAACGATATAGCATTGTAGATCAACTGCTCTCCTGACTATTTCATATTTTGTTATGGTTTCATTTCCTACATTCAACTGTTACACAATGCAGAAAACTCAAACGTTTTTTCGTATCGTGTGAAATGTTTTTGCCAATCAATTAATCCCTTTGTACATTTGTAGATGACAAGTTGGTAAATGAGTCTTCCTCAATTGTTGGAAAAGAGGAAATTATATAACCTGTAATCGAGTACTCGAGCCAGAAAACATGAATACTTTGGAGAAATGGACTGTACTACTTGAGAGGAATATACAGAGATTAAAAACGGATTGAAAACATGTCAACATTTCTTTTCGTAGCTAGAAATTTAATTAACACATGGCTTAGCACATGCATTTCCAAGGTACTTTTAATAAATATAACTTGAAATGATTTCTTAAAAGAATATTCCGTTATTAGCAAACATGGCTATCGAAGACAATGAAATAAAGTTAATTCAATTACTAGTTTGACAGAAGATTCCATTATAGCCGAGGGGACAATTGCAGAAGAAGTATCCTGGTTGATTCACGCAAGTTCCTCCATTATTACAGGGATTGCTGCGGCATTCATCCTCGTCTAACATATATACAAAGACATAAGAAATGGTCAGAGTATCTTGATTAAGCACTTCACAGATAAATGGTATTAAAAATGTATACTTTTTAGGGTGAATATGTTGTACATGGTTTTATAACATACAAAATACAATAAATAATTGAGTGAATTACCAGATAAAAGTGGATTTGTATGATAAAATGCATTTCCGATTTTATAAAGTAATGCATTGCCAGATTTCGTCGTGATTTTACTAATGAGATCCGCAAATCTAAGTCATGTGATATAAAAAAAAGAGTTAATTCTTTGTGCAATGCAGAATATAACTTAATTCTTCGTATATTTGACTTGAGAACACAATTATAACTCAGTTTGGCCAGTTCAGACCATAAACGAAAAAAACACAACGTGTACTTATGAAGGGTAATCAAATCGGAACAATTTCAACATCTCTTTTTTACTTACCTATTTCGCAGAGTGTCCCAGAGAATCCCTGTCTACAGTCACACACAAAGCCATTAGCCAGATCCACGCATGCGCTGTTGAACAGACACGGTGAACTAGCACATTCATCGAGATCTAGAAAATAAACGGATTACATTATAGGAGTCATGAGATGAAATCACGATTCATTTTTAGTTACGATTACATTCATAACGTTTCTATTTCTATATAATGGTCATCATTGGTACTAGGAACAATACCATTTAATTTCATACACAATATTTTTGAATATATTTTTGATAAAAACAGCACCCATATTGCGTTTTACCATTATCAAACAATAATTATTAGATGATACAGTCTAGAGCGTAAGATATATTTATTGTATTTGATAGAATAATAAAGTTGTTTGAATCCATCTGGTTATATACATGCATAATTCAAATGACATGAAAAGCAATACTGAAGTGTAAAACTTTTTGCAGTTTAAATAAAACTTTCATTGAATATGGAAAGAAATTTGGAATCTTTGAACCATTCCTGTGTGTTCTCATACTTACTGAATTCACACCTGACTCCAAAGAAACCATCTGGGCAATCACAGGTGTACATATTGAAGCCATTGGTACATACACCACCATTATCACAAGGCCCGCTAGCACACTCGTTAAAATCTGTTCGGGGGAAATAGCAAATACGTTTCATCAAAAAAATTCTTGGAAAAATGGTATTCATTCTAAGAACTAAATATTGACGGAGATGAATTAAGCAAATTAAAATAATTTCGGAATTAATACTAGAAGTCTGTCAGCGTTAAGTTTTATAACAGGTTTAAATATTAGCAAACAACCTTTCCATTCTGGTGTATTAAAGGGAACTAACATCGACGAAATCAGTATATCACATCAAATGAGACAATATTCAGAGGTATATTGAGTAAAAGCTACAAAGGTACAGTGAAAAATATTTAGATCTACTTAATTTAGTTTTGTCTGAATCCAAAGAACTCATTCATATACCATCTGATGTTTTTTGATATAAAGTAAACAAAAGTACAGTCAAGTACTTTGAAAAGAATTCTCAAGTGAAATTTCAATCTAAATGTACCAGATATGCGCAGGATGTGAAGTAGAATATTATTTGTCGGCATGTAGGACGTTTTAGGGGAGGGTAAAATGCAGAATAAAACCGGATTATAAACTTTAGAGTGTAAATTTGTTGATGCTATGTATGTCATACCTGTTTCACATCTCAGTCCAGTCCATGCATCTGGGCATGCGCAGGAGAACGAGTCTGGACCATCGGTACATACACCACCGTTCATACATGGGTTGCTATCACATTCGTTCAGGTCTAAATAGAAAAGCAGTGAACTCAAATCAATTCCAATTCCAAAGGAGCACGATGCAAAAGGAAGACTATTACATCAACCATATTTTCAATGACCACAGTTTCTCAACATTTCTCTTTCATTTAATAATTTGGGATTAATTTGGGAATCGGAATAAATTATTATAGGCAAATTGAGGGCATGTATTGCTGTGGAAATACAAAAATGCTTAACAGCATAATGTTATCAATTGATATCACATTTACAATTTCTTCGAAGGCTAAAAATATAGGACTTTGAATAAAATACTAGTATATCAATAACGAAACTAGTTTATGATCTAGTAATGGAGACATCGATCGGGGAAACATCAAATTGATTATGTTACAAGCGACTTTTGGTTATACGTACCATTTTGACAATTAAATCCGTCATACCCGCTAGCACATGTGCATTCATATCGATTGAGGTAATCCCTGCATACTGCTCCATTCTGACAAGGGTTGGTGGCACAATTATCAATATCTGGTTCGGAAAGAGATCAAAAATAGTTAAAACCAAATCTACTATAACAAGCACAACAAAGGGCACCATTGTATCACATTCTATATATTAGTGGTAGGATCAAATGTGGAATGTGTATGTGCTTTCTAGAAAAGCATAGATTTGGGGTTTACTTTTTTAAAATTGTCATCATGCAGAGACTTTGTAGGCCCGAACGGCACACTAAAGATTTGATAACCGTTTTTCTTTCGTTTTCTTTATTTTCACAGAATGTTCAGACTTGCCACAGAGTCCTAGTTCCGTCGCAACTGTTTCATAAGATGAAGGCAAATATCTCTTAGTGAATATAATTTACGACATTATATTGATGATAATTATATTAATAATGATAATTATTATAATATTAAAATTATGCATTTGCAAGGCGCAGAATTTTTGCAAATATATATATTACTTCGGTACAAGAGCTCCTGATGTGCTTGAATCTACAAAATAAAGTTACATGAAAAGATCTGCTTTTTAAAGTTTAAAAATACTTAACGATGGTGATTTCCTAATTTATATTCATGCTAATGGTAAGTTATTTCAATAAGTAACTATCCATACCGTTATCATCTCATATCCACACTCACCAGTAAGACATTGTTCTCCTGTCCAGCCTGTATCACAGCTACATCTAAACCCTCCTTGTTGATTAAAGCACGTTCCTCCGTTCATACACGGTTGGCTGTTACACTCATCAACATCTAAGAGCAATGGAAAAGAAAAAACACCAAGTTAAAGCAACACTGTGCTAGAAGCACTACCTCTAGCGCCATCTAAGGTCAGCTGTAGCAGTATGATCTCCTAGCTCGCTGCGCTGTGGGTTCCACTGTATCGTATAGTTCAGTGGGTTGGCAAGATGCAATAAACAGTACGCTAGGATAGAAATTTCGTCAGTATAGTATTGCTTTAAAGTCTGGTTCTCAGTCTCTATAGACTAGGTCTGAAAATACTGCCAAAGAAAGCACTTCACTTGGATACATGTAATAACTTATTGGACTTGCCCACGCCAATCAGTACGAATGCAATAAATTGAATTTGAATGAAAGTGTATATCCATAGAAGGAAATGATTATTTTTGTTTTTCACTTTAAGTCTTTATTACAATTAATACCAAGATTCGATTGTAAAAAACATTCATCAAAGAGCAACCAAGCTCAATTTAGTATGGCTTCAAACTATAGATAAAGATTAGAGTACTGACGAGCTAAAGTCATATTCGCTCATCGTCCAGCTTGATGGTTCTAAACAACAGAGCCTGTGCATGAGGTTCACCGCAAAATAATTCAAGCAACAGACTGGAACATGGCAAATGCAGTGTTCGGGGCTGGTGTGATCGCCACGTCATTGTTTTGCACAAAAAATGTTTGTCTCCAGCAACCTTGACAACTTGGCCTGTATGACGTCACACTTCGGTACTCTATAGATTAGGTTTATATTTCAATTTGAATCGTCCAGACTTACCAATTTCACAGTTGAGCCCTTGGAATCCCTGAGCACATGCACAGCTGTAGACGTTACGTCCATTTACACACTGAGCTCCATTCTGACATGGGTTACTTGAACATTCATTTATATCTGTAAACAAGAAAAGAAATAAATTGTGAATGCATAACAGGCGTTAGCCAGGATTGAAGACAAACAAACATACTAACAAGCAAACAAGCAAACAACAAACCTTATTTGGACAATACTAGACTGCCTTATCTCAATGTATTACTCATTAATCACCGACATATCTGTACCACAAATAAAGATTTTTTTCATGACCTGTTAGCTGCATAAGAAACGTCATATCCTCCCTTTTCCAGCTAATAATAATAATAAATTAAAATTTGGACAGATAAAACAAATTATCACTTTATCACTACTTGAAATGAATTTGCCTTAAAGATGTTTATTACTTAATGGGGAAGCTACTGATATTAGATTCATTTTGAAATCTAGTATTATCCCAAATTAACGTTAATCACTTTTTTTAAAAATCAAATCCTCCTTCCTTATCCACATTCCATCAAAACATAACACATGAGACATGATGAATATTCCTACCTGTATTGCAGTTTGTGCCTTGCCATCCGTTGATACACGTACATGTATATTCATTTTGACCGTTGTTACAAATACCTTCATTTTGACAAGGCAACGTAGCGCATTCATCAATATCTGAAAATAAATGAAAATGAAATAGTCATTGAAACTTTGCAGCATGTACAATTATTCACCTGATAATTATGGGTAAATAGTGATTGATGGAAATACATTTTATATGATCAGAAAATGACAGCGTAGCAACGACAACGAACAGAACGATTACTTCATTCCTTTCTTAAATGAAATCAACTCGGGGCTTTCCGAATTTACATCGAGTGATAAAGCAAATTGACATGAAGCTATCAAAGTTATGGGAGACTTTCGATTTGAAGTTCTAGATGCTAACGAACCAATGTCGTACTCGGGGGAACTAGCGCAGTAAATGGCTACTGAACCTGTGATATCCATTTGCAAGATCACCTATATATACAGTCTTAATACATCAAGAGTTAACAATGATAGGTTTTGATAAATTATAGAATATTTTCAAACAATTAATTTAAAGATCATTGTTGCAGAATGTAAAAGATGGTTTACAATCCCTTTTGATAAAGCAAGGAAGAAGACCATACCTTGATCGCAATTGATACCTGTCCATCCGGGCGGACAGAGACACCTGTATCCATTCACTTGGTCGACACAGGTGGCAGAGTTTAAACAAGGCGCACTACTGCATTCATCGATTTCTGTAAAAATAAACACAGGTAGAAAATTCGTTTATTAAAATGCATGTTATAATAAAAAATGAAATGTTAATAAAACTTTGGAATGAAAATGAGATTTATGAATGAAAATGATTTTAAGATGGCCAATCTTGAATGTATACAACCTATATTGCATAGTTTAGATTTCACTTGTACTTTTGAGGATGATAATCATATAATACTTTTTATCTTTATGATAATAACAACCACATACTGATTTAAAGATAATAACAACCACATACTGATTTAAAGAAGAAACTTAAATAATCCAACTTTCATTTTATTTAGAATAATCTCTATTGGCTGATTGGATGATTAAAGCCTTGTTCAAATATGGCGCGGTAAACTGCGGCGTTAATGTTTTTTTTATATACATATATCATGACGTGAGTGAAATATGCTTCATATTTCTGTATCTTAGAGCACAGATCCGTACCAGGACCTTTGTTGTGCGAAGTTGCCATTCATTTGCAAGGAGTAAAATGAAAGTCGCATTCTAGCACGAGCTTTAAAACAGACTACCTGTTTGGCAGCGTTCTCCCGTGAAACCAAGTAGGCATGCGCACTCGAATTCATCTATCAGATTAGTACAGGTCCCTCCATTAGTACAGGGATTGCTATAACACTCGTTGATTTCTGAAAAGACAGGAAATGTGCTTGTCAAAATCAATACAAAAATCGAGTGTATATCTGATCATAGCATTAACTCTTGTTTCAAAGTCATAAAATGACATGACAAAGACTAGGACACAGAATATAATATGATGGAAATATGATCATTAAGTAGTCCATGTCATGGAATATCGCCTTTTTACAAAAATTAGTGTACATTTATATTCTAACATTTGTGCTCCACATATTTCTAATGCTTTATATGCCAACAATGTTCTAAAACTTTAGTTTTTTTTGATAGATTGGTGAAACATAACATCATCTGAGCGGCAGGGAACCAATTTGATTGGCCTATTCGAGACTCTCCTTACAGAGACTGCTGAGTTGATCAACTGTCAACAATTATCTGTTAATACCTTTAAAAAAATTAAATGACTATTGCTCACAATTCCACAATACATATGGAAGTGTTAAAACGACAATACTGAGCGTCGAACGGAAAAAAAACGACAAGTAAAGACTCTTCCATGGTATTGGTATTTGCACACACTGAGCTCTTCTATAATCTCTCACATAATACAATCATTCTAAGCCAACACCTTACATTAATAAAATTATTTGCAAAAAAGGGTTTACCTGTTTCACAGTTATATCCCTGGTAACCTGCATTGCATTCACATGTATAATGATTCCTTTCATTTACACATGTTCCGTTGTTCTGACACGGGGAAGACGAACATTCATTAATATCTGAAAATGATAGGAAAGAAAAAACATTATCAATCCGATTTGACAAACTTGGTCAAAGTGATGATCAAATAAAAGGCTATTCGATCACCTTTCTGCATCGTATTTTGTTCAGGCATGCACAACACCTATTATTACATATAATTTACAGAGGTAAATGTGTTTTTTTAAATCATTCTCAGTATAGTTGGTAGTCTAGCCGCATGATACGACGTAATGAAACTTTAATTAAGTTCAGTTCACTTTTTTAAAATTCAAAGCAATCAATTTCACATTATATAACATTGCGACAGAACAATTTATGTACAGTAAGTAAAATATAAAAAGGTTTTTTTAACGAGACAGATGATTATTTGGAACATAAAAATGATGAAAAAAAAGAAAGATTAACATTGGGTATATTTTATGAATTGCAGTCATTTACAACACGTTTTTAGGTAAGAATCGAAAACTAGTGTTCATTTGAGATAATACCTATTATTCCTGCAACGAAAATGCACATTTTCTTTTCTTCTATGTTTATCTACTTCAAACTCAACTTGATGTCGACAAAACAAGTCAGAAGACCAATACTAAGGTATGGCACTGCAGCCAAAATTTCTATTCGGTAGGAAAATGAGCCTAAAAGTATTTGTTTGAAAGAGAACGTCTACTAACCTGTTTCACACATGATTCCGGTAAATCCAGGGGCGCATAAACATTCCCAGGCACCTAGGTTATTATTACAGTCTGCTCCATTCAAACATGGGTCGCTTTCACATTCGTTGATTTCTAGCAATGAAAATAAGAATAAATATACCAGACATGAAGAAATGTGAGGATGGAATAACAAATGAAAAGTTTGAAGTATTCATGGGATATTATAGGCCAAGCCCATGTATTTAAACTGTAAATATTATTCAATAATTACGTACAGAAAGTTTTTGTTTGGCGTTTGCTGGTCAGATGTCAAAATCGATACATCGTCAGACTAAAATTTATGTACAAAACAACGACAATGGAAAGCTTTGATACATATTCAATAGTAATGCATATTTGATCCAACTTTAATATTTCTTTAAAGAAAATCAAATTAAAACCAGTTTCAAGAGTTGTCAAAGAAAGAGAGAGAGAGAGAGATGGGGGACAAAGAGACAGAAATAATTTTGATGGAAAGTTATACACTATAGTATAACATAAGTCTTCAGTGATTTTGTTGATTTAATACCTCTTTGCAAGAATGCAACATTTCGTAGCAGCTAGTAGGTTAAAATGATCAAAGGATCAGAACAAGAAGAAAATGCTTTGATTGAAACTTACTTAATCACAGAAACAAACAAACAAACGAAAATTATAATATACAAATATACCGTGTGCTTGTGCATATATAATAATAATAATGATGATAATATACCGCTTTTATACGTCTCTAAGCGCTTTAAAGATATACTGATATAACAGATTGTTGTGTGTCACGTGGCACCTTTTAAGCCAATTGGATATTCGCTGACAAACACCCTACTATATGTCACCATGCAATGTCACATCACATGTCATAATTTATCATAATATCGTAGGTGAACATACCAGTTTGACACATGATTCCTCCGTATCCATTCCTACAATCACAGGTAAACCCATCGATTTCATTATTACACGTTCCCCCGTTCTGGCAAGGGGCGCTATTACATTCGTTGATATCTGCGTAAAAAAAGATAATCAAATAATACCTGTATATAATGTAGCATTACAAGAGTCAACATAAAGAATTATTACCTCTAATAAACGTATATCAATCTCTGACAAAACATATGTAGTTTCGCAATTAAGAAAACAAAGTGGTGTAAATAACCGTCGTACACGTGAAATGTGTCATTGGGAGGATACTGGTAAAGGCGGGGGTACTAATATTGTGGAGCAACAGGAGTGTATCTAGTCTGACAGACATGAGCTCGTACAAGAACCCACTATTGTTATAATTATTATTACAAGAAACATCAAAAGCATTATCTTGTATAATAATATAGCACCAAGGGTTCACAACTACTTAATTAATAATTGTATTTTTTCTCTATTAAGTTAAGGATATAATTCATCATCACTGAATATAATCCAATAGTAAAATATACAAATCTTATGAGGCAGACTTTGCAGATCATGGATAGATATCATTATGTATAATGCATATCAACAGAAAAAATATGAGCAATCATTGAAGTCCTGTGCTTCATTAGGAAACTTGATACTTTGTAAATAAAACATCATTCTCTGAATGATTAAGGTATGATAATGATATAATCGTAATTAGTTTGAAATAGTTATAGACACTTATATATTTTTCATCGATCACAAACAAACTATAATTTATCGGTGCTCGTATTGTCATTTCAAAGAGCTAAATGTCTTTATGTTGCGATAAATGTCTATTCTTTGTCCATCTTTAACGAATTTCACTCACCGTTTTCACACATCTCTCCATCGTAGCCTGGCGGACAGCTACAGACGAATTCATTCTCTTGGTTTGAACATGGTGCACTATTCTGACATGGATTGGACTCGCATTCATTGATATCTGTTATATGAAGAAAAAAAGGCATTCAAAATAACAATTTTTTCTTCAATTAATACAAAATGTGGGCGTAGATGTGCGTTACATTATCTAAAATATGTATACAACTTTTTTTTGAAACTTCATCCATTTCTCTTTACCTCTGTCCTGCTTTTTCTTAAATTTTAATTTTCTTCCTCGTCAATCTCTTTTATTTGCTATTCCGTTTCTTGCCTCCTCCTTTAATAGAGTGACTACATTATACGATGATTTTTGCTGGCCTAATACCAAAATGTATTAGCAATCTTAATATAAAACGATTGGTACACTTCTTAAATGAAATATTAAATGAAATTGTCGAAACACCGAATAGCCAAGCATGAGAGAAACTCCAATGAATGGTTCTGACTTACCTATTCCACAAGTAGTTCCATTCCATCCTGGTGCACATTCGCATTCATAGCCATCGATCATATCAAGACAAGTCGCTCCATTAAAGCATGGCCCGCTAAAACATTCATCGATGTCTGTGTGATGATATATGCAAAATGATGCGTTATTTTATAATTTTTGTACAAGGTCGCCTAAAGAACTTGTTTTCAAGTCGATTTTGGCGCCTTACAAATCTAATTATTATTATCATAATTATGATTTATATTACTACTATTGATATTATTATTATTATAATTATTATTATTATTATTATCATCATCATTATTTTCAAAGAAGTAACAATCCAAAAATCCAATCAAACACAATTTACTTCTCAAATAATGGCAAATGAATCACGCTTTAAGTCCATCCTGAAACAAGATTTATGATGAATTCCTCATTTTAAGAACTGTGGGTGTTGACATTAGAAATTTATTTACTTAGTTCGCAGTTAGGCCCATCCCATCCTGGCAGACATGTACATGTATATCTGTTCTGTCCGTTATTACAGGCTGCTCCATTCTGACAGGGGTTGCTAGCACACTCATTTAGATCTGAAAGAAGAACACAAATATTACAACTTTACATTTAGTCAGTGACAGCAGATATATCATTACATGCTTCCTTTACAATCTTTTGTAAACCATGTTACATTGTTTAAGAACTGATGCAACATTGCTTCATTAATAAACAGGTTATACTAACTCCAAACTGCTTTCAATGAAGCTCCGTCGCTATCTGCAGGTATGATAAGTGAAAATGTGTTTCATATTTTGCAAATCTATTAAAGGGGTTTCATTTATTAAAGTATAAATGTTGCAAAGCTAATTATCTACTTTACATTTGACAGTAGACGTCTGATCAAACATTGAGTGAATTTATAGTGAAATAAAATTGAAAGGTAAGGAATGACTTAGATTTAAAAAATAAATTAAATTCTTCCTTAAGCGGCTTCAAAGGGATGTTCAAATCACTAATATTGAATAATTATAATACTTGACTCACCTAATTTATGATCAGATTTTTCTCTCACTTTGTATTTTTTGATTTCGTTTTGCTTTGACTTCTCTATATCAATATATCTGTCTTCCTTTCTTTTTGTTTTCTTTTTCCTATCATGTCGTCATCATCCTAATTTTGACGGCAGCACCAATTAGGCTCTTGCCGACTATGAGCTCTTTCCTCATTTGTGATCTATTCTTTAATTTGGTAAATGTATTTCTAAAAATGAATGAATGAAAGAAATATCAATCTACAAACATAAACGCTTGCTTACCGACGTCACAATTAGTTGACTGCCATCCAGGAGCACAGGTACACTGATAGCGATTTTCAAAGTTTTGACACTGGGCACCATTTTGACATGGAGAACTGTTGCATTCATCAATATCTGAAAGAAAATATAATGAAGACAATTTAGCATAAACATCTTATCATATAAATGAAACCAATGGATGTTCGTTTGCATTTTGCGTGCAAGTGCAACAAAAAAGAGAATACATGTATAATTTAATAACGATTACCATAACGATTTAAACAAAGTCTTTTATTCATGTTATACGTTTAACAACATTATTTATTGTACATACAATTTCAAGATTCCTATCGTGATTTATAATTTTGAATTGATAAAATTGAACTTAAAATAATTTACATGGTGGAGTAGTAAAGGCAAGTTTAGGTACGAAAACAATACCAAGTACCACCGTGTGACGTCATACTGGCCAGATTGTCATGGTTGCTGGTTCCAAGTAATGTTGTTTAAAAAACGGCGTGGTGATCACACCAGCACACTCAATTTCCTCTACTCCAGCCAGTTGCTTAAATGATTTTTCATAAACCTCAAACACATGCTCTGTTGTTTAGTTAGAACCAGTAACCTGAACTTTGAGTTAATATAAAGTTAGTACTTCGGTACTCTATAGAGCCGTTGTAATACCTCGGTCGCAGATTGTACCGGACCATCCAGGTGGGCAATTACATGTGAATTGATTCAACCCATCCACACATGATGCTCCGTTGAGACAAGGATTGCTCGCACATTCATTGAAGTCTGAGGAAAAAGAACAATAAAAGAAATGCAATGTATCACTGAAACACCAAATGCATGCCATAAGATCTTGCAGAAGAATTCAGAATTAAGATAGGCATATGAAAGGAAAGTAGACCCCTGTTGATTAGAAACTGTTTTGTTTGTGAACGTTATTCAACATTCACATTCCACTATGTAGGTTGTGTACTGTATGTCCTTTCAATGTCTTCTTTTGATTTCCATTCATCTTGATTCTCAATTTAATTTCATATCTTTTAAAGTGATTGTCATTAATGCTAACAGTCAACTCCATCAACTTTACAAAACCATTATCATCAACATCGAAATGTTGGAAACTTGACACTAAAATCGTGTATGGCTCTAATCTCGCGAGATTACATTACATGGCAAAGAGATCACTCAAACACTGAATTGTGTACAATAATGATCATTATCAAAACAAATTTAGAGTTAAAATCAAGTCATCAATTTGATACCCGTATTTAAGACCTTTTCTCGGAACCGAACGTAACAGAAGGTCTACAAGACAAAGAGTTTTGGTCTCTATAACGACCTCTGACCTCATGTGCCTTCCCAGTAAACTAGGAATCTGTATACGACATCTGCAAGAATCTTCAGTATTGAAGGAGGCATATTATCTTGATGAAGGAGAAGAACTACGGGGAGAGTTTGCTGGAGACACTTGTCCACAAAGGCGGATAAATGGGGGGGGGGGGATTAGAGAGAGAGAGAGAGAGAGAGAGAGCGGGAGAAAGGGAGAGGGAAGAAACCGTAATCACTAAGCTTTGTATATTCACATTCCCTTCACAAACACACCCAGTGGACACCGCCCCTAGCTGATGCAAGTGCCCCATCAATGGCTTGGTTAAAGCTACGCCATTGGGTCTTTCATCAAATGTAAAATGACGTCATAATGCTACTCACTTGTTTCACAGCGTGTACCAACCCAGCCGTTGGCACAGTTACATTCATAGCCATTTACTCTATCCACACAGGTGGCTCCATTCTGACAAGGGTTGCTGGCACATTCGTTGATGTCTAGCGGCACAAGGAAAAGAAAACGAAGAAAATTAATCTTGACTATAATTAGGATAATAATGAAAAAGACACTGATAGTTATGCGATACTGATGATGATGATAATAATAGTAGTATAGTAGTTATTTAGATCAACCCAATATAAAATTGCTTCAAAATTGTTTTAACGTACTCGTCTATAAATTATCGATTTCTTACGAGAGCATTGCAATCTTAACTTCAATGTAAATGTAATCGTGAAAGATTGACCATGCATTAAACAAGAATTGGTGTATACTTTGAAGTGAAAGAAATTATTGACCTAATCTTTCTGAAAATCCCACGCACTGCACATAAACATGTCTAAATGGGATTGCACACACACATGTGGCAGAATATTTCAGCTAATTCTCGACATACTCTGAATATAAGGGCATTTCAAAGGACACTTTTCAGTGATATTCTTCCAATTTGACATAAAAAGAATGAGATGTTTAAGTAAATAATAACTTACTGCTTTCACAGTGTGTTCCTGTGAATCCATCCAAACAGCCGCAGAGATATCCATTGACTTGATCAATACACATACCATTGTTCTGACATGGGCTGCTACCGCATTCGTCAATATCTGTCATAATCAACCAGAGTTTGAACATTAATATTAGCATAAGTGTGGATCGGGTAAACGTGATAAAGGGTTCGAATCTCCTGCTATCTCTCTTGGTGATAATTCATTTATGCATTACTAAAAATCATCATAAATATAATGATAACAATAATGATAACATTAATACTAAAAATAAAAATAATGATCATAATGATAATAATGATTATAGGTGATAGCATGAATAATTATAAAGATGATAATGATGAAAAAAAATAACAAAAATGATAAAAGTAATAATGATAATAGTAATGACGAAAAAGAATATTAATAAATGCGCCAACTCCACATGACTAGTATGCTGAAGGCGCAAAATAAAGTGAGAATGGAAATAAACAAAAGTGAGACATCTTTTATAGAAAGCTACTGGATAGCAATTTTGAATTATATTGTATCAAATATATTATATAGAAGCTGTTTATTGCGCATAAACTATGAGATACATATAAATTGAAGAAAAAATACGAACTCACCTTGGACTCTGAATAGTTATGTACACACTTTTAGAAATAATTTATATCTATCGACATATTCGTATGAGTTGGCAAACAATGATGTAAAACTTGAATATACTTATACATAATATGATAAAAACAGCTCTATTCTACTTTGTAAGCGACATGCCTGCCAACTAAATGATAGCAATAAAGACCTGAACTGCATCATACAACAGCAGATATAATAACACACACAGAACAAACCACAAGCATTGAATAACACCGTAAAAGACACGACGATTGTAAGGTCAATGCTAACGTAAGAAACTAAATGCCTGCCCGGTGAACATTAGAAAAGGAATAATACAAAGGCGAAAATTTGAAAATATGTTTTTCCAAATTCATATCTCTCACAAACGTGCCTACAACATACCGTATACCACACCAAATGAAATGAAGGAGACTGATTTCTTTGATAGTAGAAACTAAATGCCTGGTGAAAGCTGGGGAAATGAATGATTCAGAGACGAAAAATGCAGATATTTGTTTTCACATTTATTTTATTCAAATAGTTGCATATCACACTCCATACCATAATAAACAAAGTGAAGTGACTTCTGTAAAAACAGTCAAGAAGAAATCCCCTTGATTCTTGAACCACACCTAGGCTTCTCCAATAATAAAACCACGTATCACACCAACAGATAAAATAAGCCCGACATATCTACTGCAAATCACATTAAGAAACATACATGGTGCGGAAAATGTGCGATAAGAATAAAAAGCATACTTTCGAAGCGTGAACAAAGCAATGAATAAATGTAAAAAAGTATTTGGTTTATTTAACGGAGACAGGAAAATAATATACTCATTCTACTTTTGCTAATTGAAATGCATGATTTATACGATGAAATCAGACTAATGGAATGTCAACGTGCAGCTACATGATATTTTGCTACTTACATAATATGTATTCTAGGCTATATGTAAACATGATAACTACAGCGATCTTGTTCTACTTATATGGAAGAAGTGAAGCACAGCAAGAGAACAGCAACATGAAATAACAATTTGGAAGAGATTCAGTAGATAAACAATGAAATGGCCAGCAAAGTAATTCAATATATGTTTATTGCTATGATAGTTCGCGAGAGGCATGCATGGGAATAAATAGAGTTCTACCTGTCTCGCAAACGGTACCCGTATACCCGCTAGTACAAGAGCAAGAATATGCATTTATCAAATCTGTGCACTGTCCACCATTCTGACAAGGGGTTGAATCACACTCGTTCGTTTCTGTTGCAAAAGAAGAAGAAAAATAAAAGAATTGAACATAAAAAATGATCATTGATAATAAGTAAATTGATAACTTTAATAAAATCAATTTTATATCACTAATTTTCCTGTTATTATAACTGATCTAGTAATTTATTATAACAGTATGTTATACAGTAGGCTTGCGGGTATAAAAGTATGTTGTCGTAATTCCACTTTAAGACATATCATTCATGAACATTTTTCTGTGATGATATATTACACACTACTTGGTCCTATCTAGATGAAAGGTTAATGTGGCTTGTCATTTCTTTGCAATGTTTTTTTCTGATATGGCACTAAAATAACTATACAACCGAGGACATGTCCTGTCTCAATCTCACTATAAACATTCCCAGATACTGAGAGATAAAGAATCATTAAACGTCTTCCTTCTCAACTTAAGAATTACCAAGATGGCTCTACTCTTTTGTGGAGCAGAACCTAACTAAGGGTAAGGGCGTCACCTGTTTCGCAGAGTGTTCCAGTGTAGCCTGAAGCACATGAACAGATGTATCCATTCACCAAATCTCCGCAGTTACCTCCATTTTGGCACGGCAAGCTATTACATTCATTGATATCTACAAACACAATGGAACAAAACAAAGTGGGTTAGCAATAATTTTGATTTCTCTGCAAGTGACAATATGCATCAAACATCATAATGAATGTAAAATATATCCTACACTATGAAAACGAAGTGTTAACCGATCAACAGTATAACGGTTGAATCTGGCATGTTACAAGTATTAATTTACCATTTTGAAAGTATTGTCACTCCTCAGCCCTTTTCAAATATCAACTTAATATTTGAGGTTATTTAGTGTACCTGCACACCGTGTGACCATACAAACGATTGGGATCACTTTTAAAGTTTTGACAATAGAATACCTTTAACGATGTAACACAATGTAATAAAGCTTTTTTGTGATTATTGTTTGGGACACATTGTTTTTTCAAGGAGGGTATATACAGTTTTTTTAATTCAAGTCGTTGCTAAGATTATTTTTAAGATATGAATGTGTTAACAAAGAAAATAATACTAAGCTGGAAAAGTTGTTGAATATACTTTAATCTTTAGCCTATGATATGCTTTACTCAATTATGGAATTAAAAACGTCGCTTGAGGATAAGAGAAGAAAAAAAATACAGTAGAAAAGGATACCATCATTACTGTAATGGTTTGAAACCCAAACCGAGAAATTGCTCTTTTAAATTAAAATGTCTTTCTCTTACTTTGCTGGCAGTTACCGCCAGTCCATCCCGACGTACATGCGCACTGATAGGCAGCCACTAAATCATCACAGATTCCTCCATTAGCACAAGGGTTGCTAACACATTCATTGATATCTGTGGTGAAAGGCAAAGTAACATTATTGGTATCATGTACGAGCAAGAGATTTTACAATCACGATTTAAAGAAAAAACAATTAATGACAATTATTTAATTCATGGGTGGCACCAAGAGTTTTAGAATGGGCATATCGAATAAAACGGCTTGGCAACAGGGAATTTTTTGGTTGAAAATTCAAATTTGCTGAAAACACTTTATAAAACTTTTAATAAGCAAGGACAAATTTCTCAATTGATATGAATCAGCACTGCAAAAGACAGATATAAACCTTTCAAACTGAGATCTACAGTTTCTAAGACATTAGTCAACATTCCACGTAACTTACTTTCTCCGCATGTGACTCCAGTATAGCCGCCCAAACAGACACAGCTGAAGCGAGCAATCATGTCCACACAGTCACCAAACAAACACGGGTTACTCGCACATTCATCGATCTCTGTATGAATGAAGGAAAAACGATTGTTACCGACACAGGCATTACTTTTGATATAAACATGTTAGATGATGAAGACCAATTGAAAAGAAAACAAGCGAGAATAATTGAAAATAATAAAATTATGACATAATCCTATTAGGTTATTAGGAGTATGTCAATTTGGAGTTGGTAATATAATCTGCGAAATGTTGTGAAGATAAGCTACTCAAATATCATTTTATGCAATAAATTATATCACCACTATCCACCATCCTCTTCTTTCTCTACCTTCTTCCTCTCTCTCTCTCTCTCTCTCTCTCTCTTTCTCTGTCATCAATTCTCTGTTAATGTGTATCTCTATTAAGAACATGGAAACAAACTTTAGATGAATTAATCTACAGATAAACTTTCTTTGTAATATTTATATAATTTTATAAAACACTAGTATGGTATCTTACCAAATGATACATAGGTAGATAAGTACATATACAACATAGTGGCGAATAACTTTAAAGGAGATATATATTAGCATCAAATATATCATGAGATGTCTTTCTAGATAATGAATCAAATAGGTAGTAAAGCTGATACAAAATGTCCAGATGACAAAAAGGAAGAGTTCAGAGTGAAAATGGTAAGGATGACATCAGAGATTTAAAAGATCTTGGATTCAAGAATAATAAAAGGTATACCATTTTGGCATTGTGGTCCTTGGAATCCAAGCAAACAGGTGCAGATATAACTGTTGATCTGATCAGTGCATACTCCGGAATTCTGACATGGTAGGCTTAGACACTCGTTTATTTCTGCGAACAGTCGATTGATAAGAGACAAATAGATATTATAATAACAAAACAATAATGAAAAGTAACGCTTGGCGCGACAGGGATTCTACTATTCCTATTTCATATCTTTCTACCTATTCAGATTCCAGATGGAGTGGTCGACGAGACCAGTGGATCACCGAAGTCTTTTGGGTCTCGTACGTGCAAATTTGCCGTTATTATAAAACCATCAGAAATTTGGAAAATAACCATGGGAACATATTCAGGAACATAACTGGTAAGTAGACTGCTATTGGTTCTCATGCATACGATTATAATGGAATAAAGGAAACTTAAATACCGCACATGCATCAAAATCTACAAAATCTAAATTATTAATGATTTTAAACATCTGACAAGTACACAATTTATTGTTGTTTGCTGAAGCTAACATATTTAAATCTGCTTGTATTTAGCAAGATCGATGTTACTGTTTGCATACTTCGGGGTCTAGTTAGTTTTACGTTTTATATCATTTTAATATCACAACAAAGAGATGTCAGGTACTGTATTTAAAAGTGCATGGATACAGAAGTTTCTATTTTTAATAACATATCAGTTACATGAATGTTCCGTCTGTTGTCTGTCTCACTGTAGCGCACCCATCAGACTGAGTATTGTTTTTTCAAAATCTGAAATCCTTTCAAAACCACTTGTCTTGGCCCTTGAGTTAGTAGCACAGCATTAGTTTCTCAATTGAAAGTGAAAAGAGATCTTACCTTATAAGAGTGAGGGATATTGCTGCATCCCGGAAGTCGTCTTGCTGATTTCACCATCGGGTATTCGTTGGTATCAGACATCAAGTCAGATATCTTCAAGTCGATACGACAACAGTATGTCGCTCACCGTCGACCGACATAACTAATTGCGGAAGCGCAGCGCAATTCTTGCACTAAAATTGAACATCTTACCTACAATATCCTTTCAAAATACACATTTTACACGATCTTTCCGCACATAATAAGTTTAGTTACATGAACGCTTGAGTGATTCTCCGTTTCAACAAGTAAATGATCAAGAAAGCATTGAATTTTATGGGCTAGATGTGAGTTGTTCATACCTATTTCACAGTGTGTTCCCTCGTAGCCATTCTGACAATCACAAGTATATCCATTGACGCCATCAACACATAGACCACTATTCTGGCATGGGTTGCTGATGCATTCGTTGATATCTAAAAGCAAAACAAAACAAACAATTATACAACCAACAACAACAATACGAATCATTTAAGGATACCACATAATATGCATTACCGACTCTTCACCCTGCGTCTTCTGTTGAAATAATTGATTCTACCTTAGGTCAGTGTGCATCATAGTTCAATTTACAGTCAAATTCGAAAGTAACTATAATAATATAAGTTCATATGAAGTAACACGGATTTTGATTTAATGAGAGATCAAGGAGACATTATATCGTATTAGTTTGACCTAAATGATAACAACCGTGTGTCACAATGTGTACATGAATTTGCTATATTGTGCTTTCACATTTTCAAAAATAAATAAACCACTACGAATTCCTGAATCACACTTACGTGTGTCTTACTTGGATGCATTTCAGATAAAGAATGAATATCTTATTGCTTAAAACCCCTGTTATGAACAGATTTTCAAAGATACTCACTCTGATCACAGTTTGTGCCCGTCCATCCAGCCTGACACGTACACGTATATCTATTACGACCGTTGGCACACTGTATAGCATTGGCACATGGGTTACTATCGCATTCGTTTACATCTGATGAAAGAAATAGAAACAAATATCGCATTAATTACTAAGATATTAGTCTTTTCAGATGCAGTAAAAAGCTCGTTCATCAACGTATCATCGCAATAATCTTAGGTATATTCATCAGACATCAAAGAATCAATCCATATTATTTACATCTTTTAATAAAACCGTTGTTAAACGTTTTCCAGCCAATTCCCGAATGCTGATGTCTATACAATGTGTCAGCTTTAATTAGAAACATCCTCTCAGGAATGCGTGTCTGTTCCATTAGGTAAAACTTGGACATTCTTAATCGTCTTTGTTATTTGAAGATCAGTTTGACATTTTCAGTTGACAATTTTACGATATCTATCTCCGGGTATGGAGGGATAATGTACACTTACCCTCAGTACAGACGACACCGGTCCAGCCAGAAGTACACACACATGTAAACATGTCTAATCCATTTATACATCCACCTCCATTGAAACATGGCGATTGTCCACATTCATCATAATCTGAACAAAGAAAAAAAAGTATTAATAGGAAAGTTACAACTTGTTGTTCCCTCCCTGGAACCATAAAGGTCATAAATTTTAAGTATACATGGTCAGTAAAAGTAACGTATTTATATTCAAGATTATAAAATCCGTCCATCACTCATTTCACTGTGAAAAATGAAAGGTGGTCTAGAATTCGCGAGGTCAAAAATCGAGGAGTCGGAGCGAATCCAGAAATAATTTAGTAATGACTATAATAATAATAATAATAATGTGTCTTGTTCACCCACGTTAGTCTCTAAAGGCCCTGTAATCATATCGTTTTCCGGCTTTATCCGAGCTACCTTGAAAAGGTGCTCAAGCGTTCAAGAACTTTCTTCCTACCGGGTACCCATTTACCATTAAATGAGGAGGATGCTCGAGTCATGAAGAAGTGGGGGAGAGGAGAGTCATCATGGCGCGAACGCCAGTTAACCCCTCGTAAGAGGGAAAATGGTGACTTTAATAAATTATGATGCTGATGAGGTCCTTAACAGTATGCAAGTTCGCTTTCTTGGTATACATCTTCCAGAATAAGAATAACATATTTGACTCTACTGGCTTACCTAGGTCACAATTAATACCATGCCAGCCAGAATCACAGTCACAGCTATAGCGGTTGATTCCGTCCACACAATCACCGTTGACACAAGGCGAGCTTGCACACTCATTGATATCTGTAAAGAAAAAATACATTGAAAATGTATAAAATTCGAAGGAATATATTATATACGGTAGATCTTTTGTTACTTGAAACCTTTTGTCTAAACTTGTATCTGTATTTAAAGTTATGAATATTGTAATTGCTGGTATTCTGATGGAGATTTCTTAAAAGCTATATGCATCGAAGAGGGTAACTTTGGTAGCACTGATACTTACTTTGATCGCAGATAGTTCCTGTCCATCCCGAGCTGCACACACAGGTGAATCCATTAACAGCATCCTGGCAAACACCTAGGTTTAGACAGGGCTGACTGGCACATTCATTGATATCTGTAAAATAACATTACATTAAATAATCCATTATTAGATAGCTCGTATTGGTATGAATGTGTGATTGGTTCAATTATTTTTAAATTATATGTATGTAGATCAAAACCAAGTAGAATCTAGAACTAATAAAAAATAATAAGATCTAATAAAACAGACATTTGCTGTTAGCTTGGTTTGGGTGTACAATATAACATTATTTGGACCGCCTTGATCTTATTGTTTTCCTCAGCGCTGTACTCTTTGAGAAAACATAACCCTTTGGGAACATATAACTCCCCTCGGCATCCCAAAGAGCGATACATTACACACCATACCAGTCAATATATGTATAACATCGATATTTGTCGCATGAATCTGTTATCGTTTCAGGACATGAAATACGATAAATATGATCGCACCTACTACAAGACTTAACTTGGAATTGGTTCAATAGTGTTCAAAGAAATGGATATTACTCCCATAAACTGTAAATGCATACCATCTAAATAACAAAACATATGATTCAAATTTAAGCTTGAGTGCTTTATAGCAATTTATGATATATTAAAGAGTATAAGATTTTGCAATAATCATGATTGGATTCATCAAAATTATCATCAATTAAAAAAGTACTTTATCTTAAGATTTCATTAAAAAATACAAACCATGTTGGTATTATTAAATTACTCAGACTCTAAAGACAATGAATACATTTTAGATTCATGAAAGGGGTATGGATATTGATAAACATTTAACAAAGTACATACAAATGCAGATATGCAACATTAAAAAAAGCATTAACGCCCCTTCGTTTATGTCAGATAATATTTACCTGTTTCGCAATTAGAGCCTTCAAACCCAGATGCACATATGCAGTTATATCCATTAACAATGTCCCCGCATGTACCTCCGTTTCGACAAGGATTACTGGCACATTCATCAATATCTGTGAAAAGAATGATTAGAGTGAATTCGGTGCTATTAGTCGCCAAGTATAAATACAGTCAAACTGCTTTAGCGACCAGGCAGAGAAAGACTACCTGTCAATAAAGACCACTTTTTTCCTTTGTAATTACCTGCGATAAGAAAGCACATAGGATAATAATTGATACTGTAGAAAATAAGATAACATTCCAACCTCAATACGATAATGAATGGTAATAGTATCTACTGCACAAACTAGTATTTATGTTAATACAAAGGGTTTAAAGTATGCTGTACTGTGATATATGTCTGTACAATTATGATCTCTTTGTAACACTGTCTATTTTGATTATGAAATAAATGATTACATTATGAATGCTTTTGTTGTCAATATGGTACTTACTGAGGTGACAGAATTCCCCAGTCCATCCAGCAGCACATGAGCATGAATACTGGTTGACCTGATCGTTACAAGTCGCTCCATTCACACAAGGGTTACTGGCGCACTCATCAATCTCTGTAGGATCATAAATATTAAATTGATTAATGAAAAGCCGATTTATTTTATCACAATAACGGCCACTAGGACTTAAACCCCGGCCACACCAGGAGACAGACACAAGACCGACACCAAAAGTATTCCACATTTATGACCAACAGTGTACATACACTCCCATATAATATAATACGATTGTGGTTTAAACTATTTTCAAACTGTGTGACACGGTATTATACATTTGGAACACACAGATTAATCCAATGAAAAAAGGGTATCAAGATGTGAGCACACCAAATTGAACCAAAGACATGATTTGAACGCGTTTATATATATTCACAATATTCTCGTAACAAGTGCCATTTTTCGTTTCTTAGTTCATTTCTGTTCATTCATTCTGATGCCTACATGATAGGATTCTTTTGAATTAAAAAATACTTTTCGTAAAAGACTGAAACATGATGTTCCCAAAAGCTTCAGTTGTTAATTATCACCATGGACACCACAATACGACATATAGAATTATTTTTTTCTCCATGTAACTTACCCGTCTCACAATGTGCACTCGTGTATCCTGGCTGGCACACACATGTATAACCGTTAACTCCATCAACACAATCTCCTCCATTAGCGCATGGCAAACTAGAACACTCATCAATATCTGGTGAGGAGAAAAGATAACTCACGTAAGAAAATTTGGATCAATTTAAAGGCCATTTCAAAACTCATAGTTGCACTGCAATATTTATTGTAGTAAATAGATAGTTTTATAATAAATACTTTTTGTCACGTCCTAAAAAAAAGTCTGAGGTGGTTTGTAGCAATAAAAACGCCACAGTTATTATAAAAACTTACCGTACATACTTTGGATATTGTAAAGACTGAGATTAATACACATCCAAGATAGTTTTGGTTAACACATGTTAAATTTCATTTGAAACAAAAGCTTTTTGGCCCATCGACTATCGATCCGGGAAAACTATCCCGGATAACAGTACTTACAAACGTTAAAACTCCGTTGAAAACTGCCCTTTGGAAAACTACTCTCGAACAACAACATCCCTGATTCCCTCCGGAAATCTCCTATAAAGAACTTGAACCCTATGAGGACACCTACCCTGACGAATAACAATCCCAAGACAATTAACCTCTAGTATAATATCCCCAAGACAACTATCCCCATGACAACCATTCCTAAAGGTTTGGGTAATTGCCTGTCCTCGAATTAATATTGGGCGGGACTTTTGAGGGCAAGGATACCAACATTTCCTAGAAACATGTATTATACCATGGACCTTCTACGTCCATGCTCATACTAAGCCCGCACTTATTACTTACTGGTGTCACAATTGGTTCCCGTCCAACCAGCGTCACACGAGCAGATATATCCGTTGATCTGGTCAGAGCACATCCCATTCTGACAGGGATCGCTGTTACACTCATCAATATCTAGCAACAAATCACAAAGGTTTTAACCAAAGCATGAACGAATGGGTTACTGCTAATATTTAGCAAAGAACCACAAAGCATCAAATTTAATCAAAACAAATATCTCTGCTCATAATTATAAGGGCTACTGATAATATTAAGGAACCAAAAGGTATTCAGCTACAAGTAGTCAAAGTGTACATTGATATAAGTCTTACCGCTCCGATTTAGCGTGGAATAACAAGCTATTCAATCTAAAGATGTATGTAATCTCCATTCATATAAGGGTTATTGATAATATTTAGCAATTTTTGGATTTTTAGCATATTCGATTTAGTCGAAGCAAGCTACGTAATCTCTTTTCTATTGGCGTTTACTGCTAATATAGAGCCATCACAGTGTATTCAGCTAATGCCATGTTTGGTACACTCATTCTTTTCCACTATTTACCCAAAATTGTCCGCGCGTGCGCACATAATTACATATTCATGAATATTAATAATAATTTTCCTACGTGTACTTGTACAGAACTTACTTGTGTTACAGGTTGTTCCTGTCCAGCCAGCTGTACAAACACAATCAAATGTGAACACGCCATCTACGCACACTCCAGAGTTCCGACACGGAGACGAAGCACATGCATCCAGATCTATATAGGACACAAAAAAGCCATTCGTGAGGAAAGACGATTGGTAAAAGACTATATTGTATGAAATAATTTTAAAAGAATTAACTTTCACGACGAAATATGGTCATAATTTGAAATCAACTACAAAACAAAAGCTGCTACATGTACTTTAAAAATATCAACCTAAAGCAATTCCAATAGCCTTGTGCTTCACCTATAGAAAAGTGCCTACTATGTAATCTGAACATGATTTATATGGTACATAACATAGTATTTAAATCGCCCTTGAGTTCATTGTTCTAAAATAGTTGCGATCGTGTTCACAATGCAAATTCCATAGAACAGACCTTGAATTTCCAAAAGATATTGAAGTTATTGTCTATTACCTGCGATGTATTCAACTTGAAATCCCTTTTCCTCGTTGTTGATATCACTGTTGAAGATCATCCAAGCTTGTCTGTCGTCGATCAATTCCACAATTGGCAGAGAGAGGTTGGTCCCGGTTAACTGGACCTGACCATCACCGTAGGCCGGTACAGCCCCACCACCAATCTCTAAGAAATCCTTGTTGGTTTCGAGTTTGAACTCAGTCAGTCTGATCTGGATGTTCTGGGCGTTAGGGATTCGGATGAGATAGATACATAGCTCCAATGATCCGTAGTTTAGAGGATAATTAGGAGATGAGAAGATCCCGGCTTGAGAGAAGTATCTACCTCCGCATGATCCGACCCAATCTAGATGGAGAGAAAAGGTTTAGATGACCTTAATCGAAAATCGAAACAACTACATCATCATCATTATCGCTGCCGTCGTCATCGCTTAGCGTGTGTTTTTCTCACGCTCAGTAGGGTTTGACGTTTCATTTCACTTGTTATGGTCATTCTCGACGCCTTCCGATCTTCAGCATCCGTCTAAGGCTGGATAATAATAATAATAATAATAATAATAATAATAATAATAATAATAATATGTCTTGTTTGCCCAGGGTAGCCTCATCAGTATTCATAATTACCCCAGTTATCGGATACAGGATTACCCGCACACAATGTATGCACATTCTCCACTCCCCGGGGAGCATTCCAACCAAGCGTCATTTTTACAAGCGAACACTTGCTAATCTAAGCACATTAGATTTCGCATCCTACCGGGTACCCATTTTACACCTGGGTTGAGAGTGGCAAATGTAGATCTATGTCTTGTCAAAAGACATTAGTGCCGCGTTAGATGCTCTCATTTATTTTCCTAGTGTCTCTTTCCAGGTCTTGTGTGAAGCCAATGACTTTCCTCTTTCCGTACCACGTGGCCATACCAACGCAGTCTACCCATCCTTAACCTAGTCAAATTGTATTAACTTAGTACATGAATTAATCATCAAACTTAAAAACTGGACGATTAAAAGTACTGTGCACAGATTACATGAATTGTTTTTATTAACTTACACTAACAATACTAATTAAGTCATTGGATGATAACATTATTTCGAAGTATTACAAAAACATAACAACATATATGGATGGCGAAATTAACAAGCTTTCAAATGGTAGCTAACGTACTAAAAAATTGCAAAATGAGAGAGATATTTTCCGTAAATTTGAACTATATACAAAAATAAACAAAAGTTAATCGCACGAGAGAATACATTCTGAACGATGACGATGCGTTTTGTAAGATTCAAAACGGAATCATTTCTCTATTAAACAAATTTTTCAATTGATACTAAAATAAAATGAGGATCATATTAATCAAAGAGATATCCTCACTCAAACTAGATTTTTTTTCAAAATGTCATAATTTGTTTAAACCTATACATGTATATATATTTTTTTCTTCAATTCAATAATGGTTTATTATGTAATTTCAAAATACATGCATCATAATTGTCATTTTACATGAAAAGCAGCAGAAGCTGGATTATTCATGTTTACATGTTGACATAATAAACTGACAGGTTGCATTTTTAAATATTTACACGTTAAAAAGATTGTTAAAAATACATTCAAAATAACATTACACGTTAAAAAATAACAAAAGAAAGTTTTATACTCTCGTTTAAAATGAATACATTGGATTTTAAGACTAAAGACGACTGAGGAGAAGACTAGTACTGTGTTTGAAATTTAACATGTAGTTAAAAAAGCATTTAATTATGGTTAATTAGATTGATCAAATATGGTAAAGGGCTGTTTTTGAAGCGATTGGTTTTGCATTTAAAATTATGATATATAGGAGTCTGACGTAATGATATTATAATTTCTTTTTTTTTGGAGGTAGCCAGTTCTGGCATGCTGGGTGAATTGCTAAAGATTTTGCAAATTTCATACACAGTACTAGTCTTCTTTCCTCAAGTGTACTTAAATTGCATACTTGACATGCATGTGAATATGACATAAAATTAGAGCCTAAAATAATTTTGCAAACCCTCCGTTGTATTCGTTCGAGACTGTTTTTCTGTTCAGATGTAAGACCACTATGAAACACAGGGGCGCAATATTCTAATACTGGTCGTGTATATAACCTGTGTAGATTAATACTAAATCATTTAAAGGTAAATTAAATTTCTTGAGTTTCCTCAACATATACATTTTTCTATTACATCTTTTCATTAGCTCATCAATATACAAATTCCATTTTAGATCAGACTGGATGATCACTCCAAGAATCTTAGCACTATGCCTATTACACAACTCGGTGTTGCTAATAAAAAGAGTTTCTGGGTCTGGTGGATTTTTCATGAAACTAACTTGGAGGGTAAAACACTTCGAGGGATTTAGTGACATATTATTCACAATAGACCAAGATTGCACAGAATTAAGTACTGATTGTAATTGTGAGACATCTGTAGATTTCCGACATTGTACTAACGAGAGGTCGTCGACATATTTAAAATTACTCATGGATAAATGTGCTTACTTGGGAATGATGTATCACAGTTTGTTCCGATCCAATTCTGCTGACATATACAGATATAGTGATCAGTGCCCTCTTGACACGCTGCGCCGTTTCTACATGGAAAGCTGTTGCATTCTGTACAAAACGAACGAAAAGAGAACATATTTACCAATTAATACAAATGTACTACTACTAATAACTCCAACAACAATAACAAGAATAATAGTCACATTAATTATAAACAAATAATAATTAATTATAATAAAATATCAACATCGATGATTATAATACTATTAATAATAACAATTATAATTATTAAAACAATAATAAATATCAAAATTGTGTTGTTATTGTAATTATAGTTATTATTATCGTAATAATAATGATATTAATGACGATCATGGTGATGATTAATGAGATTAAACAGTAATAACAATAAAAGTATACTACTACTACTACTACTACTACTATTACTGCTAATACTACAAATTGTAATGATAATAATATTTGATATTTATATTGCGTACATATTGCTCCAATTTTATCCAACACAAACACAACTACACTGTTGGTCATAATGGTGGAATATTTATTTTTACCCCAGTTTAGGGAAGGATTTTTAAAAATTATTTATTTCTAATAGATCTAAATAATGGCATACATTCTCAGATTTTATTGAATATTAATTTGCGAGTGTTTGTTTTGCGTGACTGCTTAATCATATGTGTGCTACTATGCTAATCAGCTAAGGGACCTACGTCCTTAAGTCATAATTGACAGTAATGAGGATTAATGCCTCACAAAAGGGCACTTATATATAGCTGATCGATACGATTTTTTATCCTGGGGCCTCACAGTAACGAGGCCACTGCTTAGCCCCTGAATCATGACTGTACGCAGTGTTTGCTAGGGTACGCGGCCCCTTCCACAAATCCCCCAAAACGAAGAAAATGCAATAAATTGTCAAAAATTCATTGCATTTTCCCCCGGCCCCCTACAGGAAAAATTCCTCTGTAGGGCCATGCATTATGGTTCAAGGCATGGCCACACAGAGGAATTTTTCCTGTAGGGGGCCGGGGGAAAATGCAATGAATTTTTGACAATTTATTGCATTTTCTTCGTTTTGGGGGATTTGTGGAAGGGGCCGCGTACCCTAGCAAACACTGCGTACAGTCATGATTCAGGGGCTAAGCAATAGCCTCGTTACTGTGAGGCCCCAGGATAAAAATCGTGCTGATCAGCTATATTAGTGCCCTTTTGTGAGGCATTAATCCTCATTACTGTCAATTATGATTTAAGGACGTAGGTTCCCTAGCTGATTAGCATAGTAGCACACATATGATATAGCAGTCACGCAAAACAAACACTCGCAATTTAATATTCAATAAAATCTGAGAATGTATGCCATTATTTAGATCTATTAGAAATAAATAATTTTTAAAAATCCTTCCCTAAACTGGGGTAAAAATAAATATTCCACCATTATGACCAACAGTGTACATTGTATCTTGGGTTCTCTTTCATTTCCATTGTATTATTTTTATCATAGTATAATCGTACTTTTTGTCGCGCTCTTAATAATGGTGAAACGCGTTCGATTTCATTTTTTTGTGTTGGTATTTGGCCACTGTTTTTTTTTTCGAGGAGACGGAAGGAGATAGTGCTCAAATTACGTGAATTCGCTATATATTCATTATTTGTTTCTATCGGACATCTCAAACTGACCGTTGAGTTCCATTCTCCAAAATCTGTTCAACGTAATAACTATTATTCAATTCCAATTTCTGCTATTTACATTTCTTTTTTTGCTTCACTTAAACAGACATGCCAGTGACACCTGAGATAACATAATGCAATTTATCGAGCTTAAGTTTAAGTTTATGCATTGTCATCAATAAGTTGTTGTTTTTGTTTTTGTTTTATTTATGATTATGTATAATATTTTAGGCATCCCCTGATGCATCTCCTGGAGTCGGAAGAAAAGACTTACGGGTTATAGGAATTTTACATTCCTTTTTTTCTTCCCGGCAACTTCGGGAGGTGCAGCAGGGGAAGCCAATTTTATTCTTTCATACGTTGTATCCTACAGTATGTAATTCTATTGTACCTTGTATTGTATGTTTGAAATGACAAATAAATAATAATTCAATAATAATAATAATAATAATTTAGAGATGCCATCCTTGAAAATAAAAAAAAATCAGACCGACTGCCGTTCGTGTGCATTAAACACAAATAAAATATATGTATTTTTTCAAAGGTTTCTGTTTTAACACGGACTCGACCTATCTTCATAATATTTTGTTCTGCCGCCTTACAATGACTCACGAGAACAAATAAGCAGCTTTTATATGAAAAGAGACCGAAGCCATTACAACGCTAAACAATCAATGCATGCCATCCATAATCCATGCATGACTGCTTCTATGCTTTAGCTACCATGGCAACGCGTGTGCCCGTTGCTAAGGAGCATCCCAACATGGTATTGACTATTTTCAACCATGGCCGAACAGGTGATTCGTGCCTACCATTGTCTGCTCATCAATTATTGGGAAGTTAAATGGCACCCTTCACTGTAATATTGCCAGTATTCGTGATGTCTAATGGAAGGGAGTAATCTAGACAATTAAAATGATGTATACATACGAATCCTAAGTGGGTCTGAAAACAGGAACCCAATGAGATAGGCCTAGTATTGATCGTGGTTGCTGCTCATCGCTTTTTTACAGTAGATGTATTCAGACTATACTTCAATGTCATGATTAATTGATTCTCTTATTGATCTAGTGGGTTTTTCTTGTTATTATAACAGCCGGGGTATTCATGTAAGACTGTGGCTAAAATGAAAAGACATAATGAAAGTCACCGAGGACTAAACACAATCGAATGTCTATAACAAACTTAAACCAAGTACAAATAGACAGTTACGTATAGCAGAGGGTAAATGTAAATAGATGTTTAGGTTAATTAGATCTACAAACATGAGTTTGAAAGTGACTTGCGTGCGGGATGCATTTGTTTAGGTTAACTTAAAAGAATTTTATATATCATAACATCGTGGTTTTGCTGTTGATGTGGGTTTTTTGCCTTTATTCATTGCGAGTATAACTGTTCCAATTTTCACCCTTTGCTTAAAATCGACATGATTATTAATGCCTTGTTAATTGCTTCCACTCTGGATGAAATATTTAAATAATTTGTGTTTGGCAATATTTCAGGGGCAATTTGCAGCCATTGATATGCAGCCGCTAGCACAGCGGAGCTACATATACTCGCAGATAGAAATATTTGTCTGAGGGGTTGTCGTCTTGGTTAATTTTCACAAATATGCTTACCAAAACTCATGATATAAGACATTCCTTTTTATTATGTTCTATATGCGTATTTGGAGGCACTCCAAGTATGGAAAGGGAAATTTCTTCCTTACAAATTAAGGTTTAAAATGATCTTAAGAGCTTGAACATCACCGCAATAAATGAAAACATAGAGAGCTATATATCCATTCTGTGACGTTATAAAGTGAATTGCCTTTCTTTTCACGCTTAACGTCCTTCAAAACTATTGATATGAGACCACCATCTCATTATAAATTGATTGCACTCCTCACACTGTCACCTAATGACCTTGGCGGAAATTCACACTCCCCCTAATATTAAATGGAGCGTTCAGTGTTTACAATTTAATTTGATTTGATTGAGAAATTTAAGGTTGACCAATGGTCAATTAATGAACGTGGTCAGAAAGTGGTTGGATGTTTTAAATGTTACTTGGGGCTTCGGTCATGTCAGTAGTACCTGTGTAGTTGTAAATCTCTGTTATATTTTGTTACGCCAAATGATGTAAGAACGATTTGGCATATTCTTTTACATTCTCAAAATGAAAGATAGAAAACAAGTATTGATTTTATTAGGTAGAACAAAATAACTCCACAGACATTCACACCAAAACACCACACCATGCAATCTTTGCTCTTGGTAAAATAATGTTCTTCATTCATGTTTATATTTTGTTTTCAATTTTCCAAGAAATTTCCATTTTTTAGAAACTGAATCTAGCAAAAAAACGACAAAATAAAACGTTTCTTTGACTACATCACGAGTGACGAAAAGAAGAAGAAAAACACTGCAAAGAAGCCAGTACGACATACCTAAGTTTGATATCAGCTCGTTTGAATACTGAGCAATTCTTTACGACTACATGGCATTCGATCAAACGTATTTAATTTCTTTTTCTTACTGCAAGAACATGCACCTAGACACACTTGAACTGTTTTATGTAAATAAATTCAGGTGAAGGTGATGACATGAGGAAAAGAAAAGGAAAAAACATGGCCGCTATTAGACGTCACTCAAGTTCATCTGCTAGCGATATTAGCTCTTGGTAAACATCAACATCGCAGGTAAAATCACAGCTTGCCATCACCATTGTTTACTCTGTAATAACACGGCAAACATAACTCAACAGATGGAATTCATCGTTCCGGAGTTTAAACAAAAAACCGAAAAAAGGAATTAGGGGTAATGGTATTGATGTCAGTCATTTATCTTTGCGAATGTAGTTGGTCACTAACGTGGTACTTGATAATACCAATAAATTCACGCGTTTCATTTTGTTCTTAAGGCCATATTTTAATAGAGAAACAAAATACATGTAAACATGGAAGTGAAAGCAGGGAAATCAAAAGAACATTACTGCTTGGTCAAACATTGAAAAAAAGAAAATACAAAATAAAATACAAGAGATATGGAGTTGTGGACACCTATATTGTTAAAATATAACCTCAAATAGGAAAAATTGTCTGGGGCTATTATAATTGATTTGCCAATTATCAATTCGTTTTAAGAAGGCGAACCAATAAATAAATCATCATATTCTCTTTTGAATGTTAAGCTAGAGATACTTATCGATTCCATAGAGTCTATTGATTATTTTGAGTATTGAAGATATCATGTTTTTAGTGATTATTACTTTTGTTACGTTTCTTTTGTTACCATGGCTATACTTTAACCAGTGGTCAGACCATGTATCACATCTTTCTAAATGGCTCTAATAAGTTCGACTGTACAGCCTTCCGAGAAATCAACTCTAGGGAAATTTGATACCCTATTCTATGTTCCATAGAAATCATATTCTGATTATGTAATACATCATTGGAATGTTCAAAAAGATGATGTATAAGGCCTTTGAACTTGCCTTAGGATGACAAGTACATGTGGTTACAATCGTGTTTCCACCACCAAACGAATTTGTGGAGTTTGGAAAGCTTTAGGTACGGAGGGGGGGGGGGGGGGTGGAGCGGTAAGGTTGTATGTGTGCCTGTCTGTGCGTGAGGCTCTTTAAAAAAAAATTGTTATTCATTCAGTGCACAACATATTATGTAACTATTTTTGTTATAAATGAGTAATAACTTCCAACTGTATATACCTCAGCTATGTTTCTGTGATCATAGTTATTAACTAAACGTATATAAGCTTGGTTATGCAATTGTAATAATTTGAGATGTAAAAATGGAAAGTTGCGATTTGTTATCATCATATATATTTCATTTGTGTAAAAGTAATGTAACTCCAACATCTGGTAACAAATTATATATGTATATTATAATTCTGTTATTATTTGTATGCTTTGAAAGAACGATAGAATATCTTTCAAAGAAAAAACAAGCCAAGGTTCAAAATGAATCGTTATGTCTGCCGTACCCGGAAAGTCTTTGTCTTACTTATAGATTTAAAGGGCAACGCCCAGACGAAAAGTCGATATGCCATGAACGAATGGGACTATTGTGCGAAGCGGTTCTCAACCTTTTATATAATTATGTTATTATGTTCAATGGTCTTTCCCCGGACCTAAAGTGAATACAGTGTACGTGTTTAGTTTATTCATATCGCTCTATATCCGGGTAGATAATTGAACGAGATTCAGAGAGTCGCAAGGTTTGACATTGTTCCAGTAAAACAGCGCGATAAAAAGATAAGTCTAATAGACAGGCACTAAACATTATATCTCAAGAGAAATTAAGAAATCTTTTCAACTATGTACCAGGAACTGTGAAGTGATAAAGACTCTAATGGGAAGCTACACTACTTCCTTCATCATCATCATCAAAATGATAAGAATACTAAATATCTTAAGATTGAGAAATATATTATATCAACCCAGATACAACATTAAAAAAATATTTATTCCTGTTTAAGTTGTGATATATGACTTTTCTGAATCTAACTTAATTCCTAAAATGAAAAAGTAAAACCTCAAGTATATATAATTATTCAGATTGTATACTGTTTGCTTTAAATATTTACCGATGTTATTATTAGAGTATATTGAGGGATTTCATTAAGATTTAATCAGAGTTCTGTTCTTTCTGTATATATATCGATTCGAAAAAATGAGCAGCAAATCTCGTTCTCTTGGCAGAACTCATGCTACAACAATTTATAATGTTAATTCTATACTGAATTTTGATATATCCCACAACATTTAAGCAAATACTATTCTATTTATAAGGCACTTAGTATAACAAAAAACTACGACTGACTGAAGCACATTTATTTAAAATAACTTCACCTGGAGTCTCGAATTTAAAGGACATTTTTGGAGAAAATACAGCAATATTCAAATAATATTCACTTTTATGAATATACATGACTTGTATGAGATATGAGGGAACCCAGTCAATGAATGTAAGGCAAAATCTACACCACCATCAGTCAGTAATTTCAGGCCATAATATACCTACATTTTAACATAATAAAATATCATCATTCATATCTCGTCATGTCATTTATCATGCAAATTATGAATGCGATTCATTTTTTATAATGTTAATATCAATTAATCTTTAATACCATTTTATACATAAACATCTTTTATGATGAGGAATATAATATTTTGGAATATCTAATAGCTACATTAATTGTACATCAATTGTCTTTTATATGCGCGGTTTAGCAGTTTACTCGAGTGTCCAAGTAATTCTCGTAGTCCTGTTTTTAGTGAGAGCTCTCAGTGGGTTTTAAATGGAATACAATAGAGCATATACAATGCAACCACATGCACAAATAACAAAAACAGGTGTTTAAATGATGCAACGTAAACAAAATCAAGAAAATACAAACCTCCTACTGCTTCGGAGCCAGGAGAATAAATGGCGACCAGCAAACCTAAACCAAGTATAATCCTGAAATCCATGTTCCCCTTCAAATACTGGTATTCACTGATGACAAGTCTGAGATCGGTATTCTCCGAATGTTATTATGGCTGCAAAGCCAGATCACAGACACTTAAAATCGAAATGAATTCACTCTAAATCAGTCTTTTCAGTTCTAAAATAAATAAACTCGTCAGAATGAGACTTATTTATGTTAGCAATCCATATTCCTACTGGCTAACAAGCACATTTTATATGGCAATAATCCACCACGTTACTGTTTTTGTAATATCCAATAGGTTGAGTAAGTAGTCTCCCGATGCCCGGCAGAGAGCTTCATGCAGTTTTATACAACCTGACGCGATTAGCTCCAATGTGCCGTGGAGGTACGTAATGAGATTCAAAAGCTCTTTCACTAGGGACGCCGTAACGGTCATGCATTAGCAACGGGACTCATAGGTTGGTGTATGCATTGCATTGAAGCGTGCAACACGGCAGGGGGCTATTGAGGCGCCATCAACCATGGCGGCCAAGCAACCAATAGAATCAACTTCATCGATTCTAATGGCGATGTAAATAAAACTTAGCCGAGGGGAGACTATTCTTATGGTAATTCCAGCTATTGTTGTCATTAAGGCAAGATACATACTCATAGGGGAGGAATGCTCGTATGGATTTGATTTGAGAGAGTTTTCGACCACGTTATGTAGAAATAACCTTCGCGAGATCAATATCTAGTTAATGTGAACATTTATCATAATTAGTCTGGCTTAGACAATGTATGACAGATCTATGATGCGCTGGTAGATATATTTACGAATGGATGGGTGGGTGTGTTATGGTGTATTCATCACTAGGTGTGTACGAACGTGCATCAGTTCATCGAAGCGAACACACCCTTCTCATTAGTCATATCGCTTATTGTGATATGCTTTGATACCAATTCTGTTGAGTGGTTCATAAATCGATTACCACCACTCCCCTCTTATCTTCTTTTCGTTTCTAATTTCATCTCGTCACTCTGTCAATAATTTTTCTTGAATTGTACAGTTTACTTCACTGGATTTCATAAATTCTATTGAGGATATCTATATACAGTGCAATCCATATGATATTCCAAAACGAAAGCAGCAACGGCATTAATGAAGGCTTATGATATTAAATCAAATTTATATTCTCGGACAAACATAAATATATGGGGATTTTACATTTTCATGGAAAAGGAAGTCACTTTTATCACAGATGTGATGCGCCTTAGTGAAAAGCACTGATATAACAGAACAGAACACAATTAAATAATTATGAACAATATCAGCACAATAAATTGTTACAGCGGAAATATTAAAGAAATTAATTTTGAGATTCTGATAATATTGTACTTTAAATAGTTTCACGGAGTAGGGAAGGGAAAACGGAGATAATACGTGAGCAGAGGGGGAAAGTAACGAGGGAGAGAGAGAGAAATAGAGGGAGATAGATTTTAAAAATGTACTCATGATAAGGATCAAAGCAATATTTGAATGATTTTACGTAAGCATCATTAAAGGGATAGTTGAGTTATGTTGCAGAGGGCGCTACACAAAATATTTTGATGTGAGATAATGAAAAACTGAGTGTCAAATTTGCAAGAACATACAATTTAAATGGCAAAATCATCTTTGTTTGATCAAAATCGGTTCAGACGGCTGAAATATCCATAAATATAACGATTTATAATACTTGTGTATACCACCCCAAATATTAGATAATTTGAAAAAGCGAAATAGTGCCTTTTACGTCGTATATCAGCCAATGCTGATGTTGGCTTGTTTGTTGGCATTTTCTTGTTGGTTATATTACGGACAGCCAGCTGGCCCATGAATTGCTATTTTTAATTGATTTATTAATTAACGGTCACCATATTTTTTTGAAAGTGGAGCTGAATTGGTATGATCGTATTGGCTAAATTTCACACATTTGGGGGTCTAAATTTATCTTAAAATAGCAATTTGAGGTCCTAAAATGGCCTTAGAAATGTCATACATAGGAATAGGAGCAATAACCATGCACTTTGAAGGCATTTTCGGTCTGAAAACAGAACTCAACTATTCCTTTAACGACATATCAGATGGTTTTCACAATCAAATTTCTACAACAGAGACGTAACGTTCCAGCCATTTAAATACCCCATGTCTACAACGAGGACGATTATAGTTACGGTATGGCAGTTTGATATCTATGTAAACACCCTTATACAACACACACATCCGCCCTAAATGCACATTAGACTAGTAATAACTGGCTTTTAAAGAGGTAATTTGAGTAATTTCTTATTCTACGGATATAGCTACAGTCTCCACCTCAATGATCAAGTAAGGAAACATTATAGAAAGATCAGACTTACTGCATCATTTAACAACAGTTTAAGATGTAGGTCTACTATAAGTGGGTCATATGGTTATTAATCTACTTTTTATGATCAAGATCGCCCAAGTAGAGTGAACAAGAAAACCAGATCAGTTTGATAGATCATTGCTCTCATTTTATCACCCAAGGGTCTTTAAATGAATGTTCGTTTTTTAGGTTTTTTTTCTTCTTGTTGCTACATTGTATTTATAGGGATGATGGCAAGCCCCTTGGCTTGGGTCATGTATTTCAGTTAAAGCCCCTGTAAAGGGGGACCCCAAAATGTTAATGGCAAAATTTCACATATAAATTGTATCATAATGTGAAAGAGGAACCAATAAGACACTCTTCTGCAAAGACCCCCCCCCCCCCCCCAACAAAGAAACACGTTTGAAGATAAATATTGATAAAGGAATATACATAATTGGGGTTTTCTGTTGTATGCAGAAAACCTAAATGTTGCCTTCTTTCATCAATATTAGACTTCAAACACATTCATTTTTTAAATCCTTGCAGGAATGTGCCTAAAAGTGACGACCACTTTCACATTATGATGCAATTTAAGTGTAAGTTTGCGATCGAATTTTGGGGGCTCTTAACACGTTAGAGGGGCTTAAATTATGGGATTAAATGAACCTCTACGACAAAAATATGGAAGCCTTCAGCAATTCAGAATGGCGTATTTTATGAGTTTGATATTTAGAGTTACCTTAAATCGCCATCTTTTATTATACAGGGTCATCTTCATCTGAAGGGCGGGGACGGGGGGGGGGGGGGCGTTATCACATCGAACGCTGGTTACCTCATAGGTCTAGTCAAAATGTTCATAATATTTCAGTCTATAGTTCCAAGCTACAGTAATTGTTTTTCTTTTCTTTTAATCAATTTCGACTGCAAATAGAACAAACAAGACGGAACTATGACCTTTATCGAGTATGCAAAATAGGCAATGTGTATCTTTGAAATAGCATTACTCAAGAAAAATGTTATTTGTTTTACATGAAATTGTTTGATATGATTTTCATAAACTCTGTTATATCAAAAGCAACATCAGTTAGACTGCAAAGAACTAAAATGAATTACAAATAAGATAATTACGCTGCAAAAGTATGAAAAGAACAATTATAGGCCTAATTATACTAATCAATAATCTTGGACATAATATTCCCGATCGATTTCGACCAAATAATAACTCCAACGTAATGGCAAATAACGATTTTCCATAAAATGAAGGTTTTAAGATCAAAATATTTTATTTTCCCACCACAAATTGATAATTGAAACAGCTAGATATTGTTGCCGAGCGCCGGGGAAGGGGCTTATTATATATTAAATAATATGAATAAAGACGTCATTCTGCTCACAGCTGCTGATAGACAGGGGCATCGCTAAAGAAATGTGCCAATTTCTATGGCACCACATGGGCAAATCTTTGAATTCTGACGATCAGTTTTACCCTTGCCTCAAAACCGGAACTCTGAAGACCCCGCCCCTTCTTTTATACATATATTTTGTTTTGCTCATTGTTAATTTTCGGCAAAGTTCACATCAGCAAATTTGGTCTGACCCTATAGCCTACTCCCTCCATTAGAAAATGGTCGGGCGACGCCCGTCCTGATATGCCCGTCCCGCGTATATATCACATTAACTGTAATTCTCTCATCTTGAACACTATGAAAAAACGGGGAATGCGTCTAGGGTAAATTTATTTTACAGCTAGAATTGTAATATATTAATGGTTTTGCTGTACATTTCTAGTTGTGTGCAACTATTGTGTTCTAATATTCAATACATTCCTAACCTTACACAAGCCACAACTCTCCGACTGACGTAACAATAATTACTCTGTAGAAAATATTTTCCAAAACTAAAGATAGAGGGCGCACTAGTTACACCGTCAAATGCCAGTTGAGCTTCCAAAACAGAAGTCATAAGCATGTAAGATATTTGTAGAAGTAGGCGAAAACATAATACCTGCATGAACCCACTGTTGTAACGTTACAATAATGTTTTCTGACACTAGCAATTTATGAATGTATGAATATAAAGGTATATGCGTAAGCCCTACTGATGTCATAAACTTGAACATCCATCTCCATTTTCAAAAAGATAAAATGGCTAAATCATAAATGATTGACCCGAACCAAGTCAATTGATGCACGACATAGATATATTAATTGTCAGCCATTGATATATGTAATTGAAAAAAGGTGCTGATAGACATTTCAATGTGATTGAATTTTTTTCCGGCCAATCCAAAATATTCTATTACCAGGTACTTCACATCTTTTGTGTTTTAAGAGAATGAATGCCACCTTAATAATGGAGCTTCAAAAATGGTTTCTGGCAGATACACGTACTGGACACACAAATAGAGGGGAAGAGAGATAAACATAAACTGATAGACAGATGGATAGATAGATAAACTGATAGATAGCGAGAGGGATAAAAGGAGAGGGGAAAGGGGAAAGAGAGAGAGAGAGATACAGACAGACAGGTAGTGAAATAGAATGAGAGGAGCTTTTCCCTACAACACAATAGAACAATATAAAATTAACAATATTAATGAAGTATAAAAAAGGAATCTATAATAAAGCAGGCATAAACACATGTTTGCTAGATGTAGTTTGAAAGTTTATAAGAAAAATACAGCATTATTTCATACAATAACATAACAGTTTTGTAATAACTGGTTTATAATAACCCCATTCGCATTGTATATCTTATGCAGTCTAAATGACAGAGATCTAATCTTACCGTTCTCCACAATCCAAACACTTAACTTCTTACAATGAAAGACCATAACACAGTTGCACTTTTTTGAGAGGAAAACCCATTCATATTTCTTCCTATTGCATTCACTGCTAAGCAGATATCAAAAGACAAAACGGCTAATTTCCACACGTATAGATACTTTTCTAAAGCCCAAAGGTAATTTTCAATTACGTAAGACCTAAGATTTATCCACATGATTTATGTGAGAATGAAGTAACATGAACATACTTACAAAATGGTTAACATGATATTTTGAGGGTTTTTCCAAGCTGTATAAACACTTTAAAGGTACTGTGTCTCATTTGCAGCCAACATCTTGTTCCGTGCAACTTTGCAGGAATTATAAACATTTCATGTATGTCCTATCTGTGAAATGTAAACGTTAGCTGTGGCCTAATATTCAAATTATGCAAGGAAACGTGTTTACTTGCTAGACTTCACTGTCAGACACTATTGAGATGAGCAACTGACTTATTTTTTTCTTTGGTAATAAGTTCTAATAACATACATGTACATAACATGAGCTGTAATGAGTACATGAGCATTTGTCTAAATCAATAACCCAATTCTTGTAATGGCCAAAATTAAACTGATTGAATCTTTGCGCAGCAAAAAACGTACAACCATTCGGTACAACGGTCTGAAAATCAGACTATTACTTTAGTGATTGCAATCACTTAAGCCGTTTTGACAACTAATGGTCGTTATTTTCCCACTTACAGACATTTTCAAGCACTTTCGTTTGAAGGAAGTCCTAAATTAGCATTATCTTTCAAATGCAGTTGGAATTTAACGTTTTTATTTTTTGGCCTGCAAACAGGATATAGTACCGTTAACATGTGTTTCATTTTGTGTTTTCCCCCTCAAAACACAAACAGCAAATACCTGAATGTCTACCAATACCCCTGAAAGAACATAATAATTCAGCTTTCCTGTAACCCTGCAAAAACCTTACACTACTGTACGACAAGTAACTAAACAACTTTTTTTTCAAAAAATTATTATGTAGTACTGCTGTATTTCAGCTTGTAACTTGTAGCTACCGGTAGTAACTAAAATGGACCAATATAAGTCTTCAACATTTTTATGAAAATATTAGTTCTAAAGCCTAAGCATGAAAGTATACTCTTATTTTTTTTTTACTTAGGGTAAAAGTAATCAATCAGATTTTATTCACATTAAACAATAGTGAACTACTCAATATCATAACATGAACTTTTTTGAGAATTTACAAGCATGACATTGCATTTTTGTTGCATTTACCTTCTTATGTGCATTAAAAAACAAACTATGTGCTTTATAAATTTATCATTATTATCATCAGACCAATTACCCTACATTAAAGCAATTCAATGAAACTTAAATTAGATTTATAAAAAAACAATTCCGACTACATGCATACATGTGAGTAACTACTGGTCATTCTTTTAGGAAATCTCTCATACCAACCACTCCTACTTAAAGCCCATCTGTACTAGTTTGGCTAGGAGGGATTAGACCACCCAGCGTGGTCACTGACTATCTCATCAACTCAGCTCTCAATTAACATAAGAAAAAGAGGATCATGGGGGACCAACGTGCACCGCTTAGGCATTGTTTTCTATATAGAGGGAGCAAGTACCTACAAGTAGTACAGTGGGGCTTTAAATGAGTTGTTTGAACTTGATAGTAGACCTGTCCCTGAACTCTCCAAGAGCTGGTCTAAAGATAGAAAGCAGGGTCTTGGTAACAAAGCAGACGCAGCTAATTCCATCCACTCCTACTTAAATGAGTTGTTTGAACTTGATAGCAGACCTATCCCCGTACTCTCCAAGAGCTGGTCTAAAGATAGAAAGCAGGGTCTTGGTCACGAAGCAGACGCAGCTGATACCAAGCAGGATCGCTCCTAGGAGGAACTGAGGTGCATCCGTCTCCTCGCTGTTAGCAACCAGGAGCGCAGAGAGAGCCCAGATGAAGACAGGGTAGATGGTGAAGACATGACGGGTGTATGGATCCAAGATGGAGACGTCCAAGGCAAAGAAGACAATCAGCTCGGCAGCCAACACGCTCAGACAGATGTACACAACAGTATCACTGAAAATCAAATGAAACATAACAAGGGTTCAGTGACACAAAGACGTAACTCCATTATCTTGCCAAAATGAGTATTTTAATATCAAAATGTTCAGAAAAATGTGGGCTTTCCAGGAAACACAAAGACTTAACTCCACCCAACACCCCATTGAAGTCAATGGCTAGTGAAACATAGACTTAACTCCTTAAGGCCCAAGTGCTCAGTGACACATAAATAACTTTTTCTCAAAATCGAGTTACGTCTTTGTGTCACTGACCACTCGATACAATTGATTATTAATGAATAGTCAAAGGCTGTTATGATGTGATCTTAATTTCTAACGAAACATTTCTGGGCTCCAACATTCAAAATATTGGGTTTACAATGGATCTAGAATAATGAAAATGCCAGAACCAACAAGATTAACTCTTGTTTCCTATTCATTTCCAGGTGGTGACTAAAAACGGTTAAACTTCTAGTCCAGACCAAAGGTCACAAAGGTCACGATGATAAACTGGAAAGAGGAGGAAGAGGAAAGGTGAGGAGAGACCAATGTCTAAGCAGTACATGTCAGAAATTGTTCTAGGAAGAGTTAATTTTCTTAAACCTACATTTGTCTGGGATAAGTGGGCAGGGGTAGCTATCTTATATTTGCCCTTTATGGCCCAAATTCACAAAGGAGATTTAAATGTAACCCATGGTTGGTTTAAAATAAGCGTAAAATAAGCGTACCTTGCCATGCGCGCATCTAATATTAGACCTCTGACTGTGTCAGCTTAATTTGAGCTAATTTTAAACCATGGGTTATGTAAATGAAGATTCAAACCATGGGTTAAATCTAAACCTCCTTTGTGAATTAGGGCCTATAAGTGTATTTCTGAACAATCACACCCTTTCATCACTAAAACATAAGACTTACCTTGGCAGACCAGCATCATAAAGCAGACTCACAGAGACAGCAACCTGAGCAGCAATGGTAGTCCAAGCACAATAGATAGCTAATCCATTACCAACCAGTACTCTACAAGCCCATAGGTCAGCACTGTATATAGCAGAAGAGAATAGAAAATACAATTAAATACCCGTAGAGGAAAACCTCAGGACTATCAAGACTACAGTCAAACCTGTCAACAGCGACCGCCCGAGGAAAACACAAAAATGGTCTTTGTAGACAGGTTCCTTTCATACATGTTTCAATGAGAAACCATTTTCAAGGGAAACAAAATATGTGCTTGTTGTAGACAGGTGGTCACTAAAGCAGGTTTGACTTTATTATATTTTGTTACGAACCTTACACATACATGTATATTATGCACATGAGCAGAAAGGAGAGGTGAAGGGAGATTCATTAAAAAAAAACCCACAGTCATAGCCATAGGTAAAACTTGGTTTGTTTGTATTAATATTCAATGTTGCTGCTTTTTGTGTCTTGGGAGGTGCAGGAGGGATTAATTAAATAATTAAATAATCATCTTCTTGTGATAATATTCAGTTGCACAATGGAGTTGGAAGATGCCAGGCTTGTCAGCATACACAAAGAAAACCACAAAAAAGTCACCAAATATGATTTTGGATCTTTGGATCTTATTCTGAAAGAAGACATTCTCAGCTTAAAAAATATATTATGCAATTGGATGGCCCTAATCCTAAGGAGAAAAAATAATGAATGTCCAGTCCTGTTACTTTGGAGAGAAAGGCAATTACAGTTCATTGTTTAGAAGCACTCTGAGTCTCTGACTCTCAAATTATTGAGCAAGGTGAGAAACAGAGGATTAGATCTGTATTATATAGATATTTCCATCAAAGAATTATCAGATTTTTCTCAAACTTGATACACCGATGAAGCACATCCTGTTCTTTATTTTATCCAGGTATCATTGCAATATCTTATTCCATTTCAAGTTTTTTTGGGGGGGGTTCATTGAGGCCTGTGGGTATTGCATTTCTCACATTTTGTTTGATTCAATACATTTTAGTACACTGCAAATTCAATCTTCATTTATATGAATTGATTTAATATTGTTTGGATTGCTGATTTAAAGTTATAACTTTTTGATAATCCATCCCTTCATGAAAATATATTTGTGAAGTAATGTATTCCATGTATAACTCTGTATTTGTATGAACTTTTATGATGTTGTCCGATATATATATATCTCAATGTTCAGTTACAGTTTGTTTTATGTTAATCCTTAGAAAATGGAAAATAAGAGTAAACTAGATGGAACTTCGACTGCGCGCAGTCGAAATGATGCCTCCGTCATAGAGCAATTTTACAAACCAAAACAGAAGAAATTGTTCAAATTCAAGTTCAATTGTAATCCATTAACAGGTTCTCAGAATATCGTGATTACAAGCAATTTCTCATATACATTTATGACCCTTTAATCTTTGACCACATCTACTCAGTTCATTGGCTCTGCAAGATGTCCCGAGTTAAATAGTAATCCATCTGTCAGTTCTAATGAGAATGCGTTCACAAGCTATTTTTGCATACATAATGAGCCCATGACCTTTGACCTTTGACCTCATGACCCAAGAATCTACTCAGTTCATTGGCTCTGCAAGATACATACATGATCTAAGTTTGGGAGGAATCCATCAATCTGTTCTAATGATAATGCGATCACAAGCTATTTTTGCATGCATAATGAGCCGCATGACCTTTGACCTTGACCTCATGACCCCAAATTTAATCAGTTCATCGGCTCTGCAAGTAACATACATGACCTAAGTTTGGCAGGAATCCATCAATCGGTTCTTGAGATAACGCGATCACAAGCTGTTTCAGCATACATAATGAGCCCTGTGACCTTTGACCTTTGACCTCGTGACCCCAAAATCTAATCAGTTCATCGTCTCTGCAAGATACATACATGACCTAAGTTTGGCAGGAATCCATCAATCGGTTCTTCAGATAACGCGATCACGAGCTGTTTTTGCATACATAATGAGCCCTGTGACCTTTGACCTTTGACCTCGTGACCCCAAAATCTAATCAGTTCATTGGCTCTGCAAGATACATACATGACCAAAGTTTGGCAGGAATCCATCAATCGGTTCTTCAGATAACGCGATCACGAGAACGGGACGTACGGACGGACGGACGTACGTACGGACGTACGTACAGACGTACGTACGGACGTACGTACGGACGGACGGACAACCCGAAAACATAATGCCTCCGGCTACTTCGTAACGGAGGCATAAAAACAGAAATACCACTTTTAAGACTCATTCAAATATGCTGTGGCAGGTTTTAAAAAAAAATGTGTATAGCATTCAGTATTACCTTGATACCGCTAGGAATTCTCGTAGGAAGGTCCAGACTCTGGTCAAGATGATCATCAGGGCGACATAGAGGACCAGAGTGCTTGAGACGAGCACGATGGCAGACACGGTCAGCATCTCCCTATCCCACACAAACAACCATAGGATGTTAAGACAGTTACCCAGGAAGACAGAGAGGAGGAACGGTAGGGAGGTCACAGGGGGGTTGAGGTAGACCGGTCCTCGAGCGTTGGTACGGAAGAGGGTCATTATGATGTAGAGGATCCAGACTGCCATCCATAGATAGATGAGACTCCAGATGCTGAAGGCGTAGCCTGCAGGAGTGATAGGGCTGGGGTACTCACCAGACAGGTTTCCTATGGTGGAGTTGAACCATCCTAGAAATCACAAACATCCACATAAAGAAATGATGTATTTTTGAGATCTTGGAAATCAATTTACAGCTTTTAACCAGGGGCCCTAGTAAAACATACCCAAAATGAAGTAAATATTTATCAAATGTCCAAATAAAGATCATGGGTTAAAAGTCATTATGTTTATTACCTCTTTCGTGTCAATTTTCTTGTTATTTTTGGAGAATTTTTTTGATAAACGTTGATATTAGTATACACTTTTTCACAGGTTTCACGATAAACCGCTGCACAATACAAGTACATACATGTATCAATGGTAGGTTGTGGGCGGGCGTGCGCCTGTGTGAAGTTATCTACCGTAATGTCTCAGATCCTCATTAACTTCACACAGGCAGAGAGTAAAGAAGGTAAATGCAGCCATGTTGTGCAGGATAAGATTTTTACACAATTCTCATTCCTTCTGTAATTATAACTTGCTTGTGACTTATAATGAAAGTGAGGTGTTTGATTACAGAATAGCATTTAGGATATTATCTTAATCAAAATAAAACATATCTTATGTTCTCAGTCAAGATAGTTCTCTTCTTTATTGACCATCTCACAATGTTTTTCTTGCTGATACTGTCAATGATAAAAACTTCATTAGTATTGTTATCTTGTGATAGGAATACTCTCTCAGGAGTGGAGATGGTGCACATTTTGTGCGCATGAATGAATCAAATGACCAGGTAATAATATTTCAAAAGCCTTTAGAGATATTTCTTCTGTTTAAATAAAAAGATCACTATAATTATGATGTTGGGCAGGCCTCCGAGTCAAAATAGTATCAAATGCATAAAGTCAAACCTGTCTACCGTATAGTGACCGCCCAAGGGAAACACAAAAAGTTGTCTTTGTAGACAGACCTGGTAAATAAAGCAGGTTTGACTGTATTACCAATACCAGTAAGTGGTAGTTTGTGATCTACTCACCCAATGAGTACTCAGAATCTGGACCGATAGCAGCTTGAAAGTTGCAGAAGAGTGTGAACACAAACCCAGCTGCTACTAACGCTGTCCCTAGTACGACTGAAACATCCATTGCTGTACAGTGTGTGATCCAGCTCTGTTCAGACGTAGAACACTTTCCTTGTGTAGCACTGCAATGAGATTCATTAGTGGTTACAGTATATTCATTCATTCATATAAATATCAAAAATTCATGAGGACTAAATGAAATGGTAGTGCAGTAATGGTCAACATCGCAGCCATTCTCGAGCGATGTATAGACCTACTCGCTGAGCTGATCGAGGCAGAAATTACACACAATACACACACTGCACACAATGAATAGGAAATGGCTGATCAGCAAGTTTGACAGTAGATCTAGACTCACGATTTGAATTTTCAAAATATTCTCAATATTATTGGTAAGTTGAAAAGGATTGTATTTTACTGCTATATTTAGGTGTCATCAATTGTCGCTAAAGTCTGATTTTGATTGAACTCAGCTCAGTTGAGTTTTGTAGTTGTACAGTGGTGTTTAAAATGTTGAGAATCAACAGAACAGTTTTTAATACAAAGCCCGGATAGTAGTGCAGCTATGTGTGATCGCAGCATCGTCATGTGACAGTGCAGCTAGTGTGTAAACACCACTTTCATTCAATTTACCAGCGCCATTATTACGCCTGTTTAAGTGTTTATTCTACAATATGCCCAAATTACTACATGTATTCATCACCACCAAGCAACTAATCACCCCTTGGTTGCAGCATATCATGTCTACAACATGCAATGTTTTTATTAAAGCTCTAATTACTTACCGCAGGTTCACGATATCACTATCAGAGCAACTCAAATTGCAGCAGTACTGTGTTCAAGCAAGGTGCAGGTGAAAGTGGCACTTTACATAATGTGCTGAATGAACACGTCGCGTACGTCGACGCGGCGCGGTCGCGGCGGCCGTGCATAGCCATAGCGCATGGAGCTGATCTTATAACAATGGAATATAATGTAGGACAGGCACGACCTCGTACCTGACCCAGTAAGTTTATAAAGGAATATTCATGGCATAATTAATGGTTATACAATTGTTATCAACATGGTGTATTCGAATGAATGAAGGGAGAAATGATGTTCCAAATGAAGAGGGAAAATGTTCCAAATAGCAAGAACAAGAACAAGAACAATTAGAACAATTCAGTCAACAACAATAAATAACAACAACAAAAAGAACATGCAAATGAAGAAAAAGAAGAAGAAGAATAGTAATAACAAGAGAAGATTAATATGAGAAGAAAAAAAGCGGAGCCATAAAGACAGGGGCGGCAATTTATTTTCATGACGGGGGGGGGGGCGGGGTGCATGGGGGGGATGCGAGGGTGTCAAGGGGCGGAGCCTCATGAAGCTCAGGGGTTTTAGGCATTTAATTACGGTCAGATGAGCATATTTTGATACCTTAATTATATTTGTGACACTGGCTTGCAGGTCACTTATTCGGGAGTGTGGTCCAGCTACCGGGCCCGGAGCCTGCAGAAGCTCAGGGGTTCATCAGATCCACTGGGCCGTCTTAGGGCCCTTGGTGGGGTACAGGGGGCAGGGCCCCTGGAAGCTCAGGGAAAATCATGCCATTTCAACAACATTTGTAAATCACTGGTATCGAATTAGTTGAATTTGACAGAGTTGGAGGAAACTGCCCCCAAAGCCCCCCCCCCCCCCATCAGTAAGCATGTGCGAGGGAGCATAGTGAATGAGAGGGGAAGTTACTATCCCCTCACAGCCCTTTTTTAAGTTTAGTCGTATTAACAAATTACATTCCTTAATTAGCAGAACTATAGTATAAAAACAAGCGATATACTTTTTTTATACTTCAATTTTCTTTGTATTTGCTATATAGTACATTTTGAAGAATATTATGTGAGGTACGAGCGTAGCTTCCGAGTGAGAAGATTTTTACATTTTTATTTGTCTAACCTGCAGTCTTGGGCCCTCCAGAGCCTAAAAGTGTGTTCCAGTCTTTAGTCAGTATTTGCTAAACATTTCTTTGTTGTTGTATTTTTTTCAAATTTTGAGGGGGGACGACCCCCCCTAAACAAATTGAGGTGGGGGCGTGTCCCCCGTCCCCCCGGGATCGCCGCCCCTGCATAAGAATTAGAAGAAGAAAAACATTTCAATTTCATTGGACAGTTAAGCGTTCACCCGTCCGCACTATTCAGCGCCCGTGTACCGTGAGGAGAGGCCGGGAAGGAATCAGAAGACGGGGGGGGGGGGGGGAGGGTTGGGCGATGAGAAATATAGGCAAGAAAGCGAGATAATAAGGGTGATTCAAGGAACGAGAGATGGGGAAAGGAAGAAAAAAGAGGGAGGCAGAGAGAGAGAGAGAGAGAGAGGAGAGTTGGAACAATGACATATAGTTATGCATGGCCTAGAATTTAATCATTGACATGATGAACTTCCCTTTCAACTTTGAAGGGACCCCACTGGAAATAAGCTCTCGAGCTTTCGTGGGTTATCCTAGGCAAGAAAGCGAGATAATAAGGGTGATTCAAGGAACGAGAGATGGGGAAAGGAAGAAAAAAGAGGGAGGCAGAGAGAGAGTGAGAGAGAGAGGAGAGTTGGAACAATGACATATAGTTATGCATGGCCTAGAATTTAATCATTGACATGATGAACTTCCCTTTCAACTTTGAAGGGACCCCACTGGAAATAAGCTCTCGAGCTTTCGTGGGTTATCCTGTTCAAGCTGACTTATTTTGTATCTGTTATTATTGTTTATAGTTGTATGTTGGAGGCTTGTCGAATACAAATCAATCAATCGAATGTGTCGTATACCAGATAAAAACAGAGATTTGCCCAATGATATAAATGTATCAAGAAAAGACTAATCTCCTGTAAAAAGTTTCTTTGTGCGAGCGCGGATACCATACGGTACGTGCAGTGTGTGTGTGTGTGTGGGTGTGCGATTTCCGAATGATCGTAACATTCAGGCAACTTTCTGATTTTATGTGGTGTTTAACCAATCTTTACTCGTCAGGGAGATCCTTTGTCTTCTTACCTCTTTTTGTTAGTCCATGTGTAAAACAAAACAAATGTCGGCGGGCATCTTGAAAAATAGCCGGACCGTCAGAGAAAAATGTACTGAGCGGCCATTTTGAGCGGCCATTTGAAAAGAAAAAAAAAGGCCTCCTCCTTTCTACTTTTAAAAAAATCAGGACGCTAAACATGTTTTTTTAAATATTTTATTTGGCCTAATAACGTAATTTATTTCAAGTCTTGGTGTGCTAAGGGGGTACGTTTCTGTAAGGATGTGTTAGAAACAGATGGATCATTTCTCTCATATTTTGATTTTCAACGTAAATACAATGTACACGGAAACTTTCTTCAATATTATGGCTTTTGTCATGCTATTCGATATGGTTTTAATACACTGGGGGGGGGGGGGGACCACATTTGTGTTTCCAAAATCTCCGGTATATAAAGGGGTACTTTTCACGCAAGAAGTCCGGCCCGTATTGACTTATATTTTTTTTTGGAATACACACCGGAGATAGCGGGGGGGGGGGGGGTGCTTTCAAAGGGAGGAAACATGCATACGCGTACCCTAAATATAACTGATTGAACCGTTTTGAAAAAGTACCCTTTTTCTTGAAAATGGCCCAAAATAGACGCTTTTGAACCCGTTAATGCGTCACCACGCGGACCGCGTTCAATCTATGAAAAAACATCCCTTTATAAGCGTCTCCTTGGTCACGCATGACTATAGTATTTATACTTGACTGAGCCCTCCCAGGGAGAACATAACTCAAGAGCGAAAGAGCTTTTGATTCTTTTACGTGCCACCACTGCACACTGGAGCTACTTTTATACAACTGCATAAAGCTCTCTGTCGGGCTTCGCGCGGTAGACTGATTATTGCAATAACAAATTAATATGCTTTTTAACCAGTAGGAATATGGATTGCTGAAACAAATCAATCTCATTCTGACTATTTCTTTTATTTTAGAACTGATAATGCTGATTTAGAGTGAATTCATTTCGATTTTAAGTGTCTGTGATCTGGCTTTACAGCCATAATAACATTCGGATTGTTCCCGGGGGATAATACCGATCTCAGAATTGTCATCAGTGAATACCAGTATTTGGAGGAGAACATGGATTTCAGGATTATACTTGGTTTAAGTTTGCTGGTCGCCATTTTTTCTCCAGGCTCCGAAGCAGTAGGAGGTTTGTATTTTCTTGGTGTTATTTACGTTGCATCATCCAAACACCTGTTTTTTGGTATCTGTATAATGCTACTGCATTGTATACTCTGTTTTATTCTATTTAAATTCCACTTAAAGCTCTAAATAAGTACACTCGAGCAAACTACTGCGTTTATAATGAACCTATGAAAAATAGTATGATATGTTTCTGTCGCTTAAAAAAAAAAATTTAACGTACAATATTAATGTAGCTATTAGATATGCCAAAATACAATATTCCTCAATATAAATGATGTACATGGTAAGAATCTCGAGCCAGATGCAAATAAGGTTAAACACAATTCATGACATATTGTCTATTGTCATGATTGTTTTCTCTACTTATTCCTTCTTTTTTTCTAATTTACCTTAAAGGGATTCGGTATAGCATTGTTCAGATGAGAGAAAATGGTGATAAGGTAGTGACTTCCATGCATGCTAGATGTACAATTAAAGATAATCTGAAAGTTTGAGTGAAAATGGACCATTATTAATGATAACAATTGGGAAAAACAGATCTGATCGATTCCTTAATTCTCCCAAATATGTTTTTACAATTTGATTTCATTTTAGGTGAATGTAAATCGTCACAAAGCAATGAATTGGCTCTTTATATACCATTCCAGACATTTAAGTTTTTACAGATTATGTCTTATTTTCATGGAAAAATGGTTGGGAAGATTTAAAAAAGGTTGGAAGAATTGACTGTTATAGGGTGTCGCACAGTCAAAAACCATCCGTTTATCTTTGTGGTTTGAGACTTTTTGCAGGATTTTTTGCATGTTAGACGGGGTAAGTACAGTAAAAGGAATATATTAGGTAACATCAACCTTCAACAATGTTACCGAGTCACTTTAATTTTAAACAAAAATTCAAATTTTTCTTTTGTATTGATTATGTACATTTCTCATTCCTTTGGAGGGGTTCAGAGATAACAACTGCTTTAACGTTCCGTTTTCTATGGCAATAGCCTTATTTTGCTAGTACTTGAAATGACTCAATGTTAATAATAATCAACAGATATTTGAATTTTTAAGAGGCTTCCTATTTGTTTCATGTTGTTGAAAATCATAACATTACCTAATATTTCAACATTTCTTGATTCGTTTTCATTATAACGGGCCAGCACTCACATCGATATTAAAGTAAGGAGGAAGTAACACAAAACAAAAGCGTGGGAAAAGGGAGGCAATGACGACGAGAGAGAGAGAGTGTGTGTGGCCCTTGTTCAAATTCAGTTTTCTTTAAAAACCCGGTACTACCATCATGACGGTACATAAAGATAGTACGAGAGTGTTCTTTATTGTCGTCAAATTGTTCAAAACATTGTAGGGACGACCGGGGAAGGACGATGAACAATAAGAATAGGGACTTTTAGATTTGCACTTATAGTGGACTGTTACGTGTGACGTCCTTTTAAGGCACTAGGGATTTTTAGATTTGCACGTCGACATAGTGGACTGTTACGTGTGACGTCCTTTTAAGGCACTGTGATATCCTTTTAAGGCACTGGCAGTGCCTTAAAAGAAGATCACACGTAGCAGTCCACTATGTCTACGTGCAAATTTCAAAGTCTCTATTGTGCAGGCATGTAGCCACGTGGGGGGGGGGGGCACGGGGGGGGGATCATGTGCCCCCCCCAAAAAAAAAATCAGAGATCGGTTGAACTTTTTTAGACCCCTCCCCAGGACGTCGATCGAT